TGCCGATCGATTATTTTTAAAATATTCATGCCCTTGGAAATATTGATTATAGGGAAAATTGCCTTATGAGCGTCTAATGTGTACAATCTTGCCAGCTTTTAATAAAATTTATATTATAGGTTTATATCATCAATGTCTTTGACGAGTTAAAAAATCAGTGCTGATTAATTATTTTTGAAAGAGTTATGTCCTTTGGAAATATTGATTATATGGAAAATTGCATGGTTAGAGCTCTCTGAAGCCTTCATTTCTCTAAGATATTATTATTCCAGTTTCAAATAATTCCTTGTTTTAACCATAAACCTCATTATTTTAATTATACAAAATTGAACACTTTGTGATTTTAGACTAGATTCAAGTATCTATTAAATAATGTCACCTAGTGCATTGTGTATCTAAGATTGGTAACCAATTTCTCATGAATGGGAAGGTTCTTTTGTTTTAGATCATTCATTTACCATAATGAGAATTTTAAGGGTATTTTATGTCTATTTAAAATTCATGAAGCATGTTATAGGGCTGATTTGTTAATTCTATTGAATGAGGGTGGGCCATACATATACATTTCAGAAAAGTTCTACATGGTTTCCCTTCGGGTATAAAGTTTTACAATAACCTTGGTTAGTAGATAAAAAAAATTTGCAAGACAGAAACATTCTTTTTTTTTTATTGCTGTGACCTTAATTTATTATTTATTGGGATTTCTTTAAGTTAATCTTTGGAAAGTTCATTTAAAGTTCAAAATTCTAATTATATTAGGTAAAAATGTATTTTGAAAATTAGTTCTAAAACATTCATATTTTGTAAGTGTAGTTTTATTTCGACTAAATCTGTTTACATTATATAAACATATATACATATTAATATTTGTGAAAAAGATCAATTCAGAAATGTTGTAAGCTAGTTATCATAAAAGTGGGGGATATAAAGTGACGCACATGGCCATCCATCCCTTAATTTATAACCCCAATAGTGTGGTTTTTTTCCATTTCCAGATGATAATAATATTACAGCTTGACCTAATCTTTTGAAACTTTTACAACATGTTCATGGGACCATTAAATATGGATGAAATTTCATTTTGATGGTTTTGACATACTATTGACTTAATTCCATTAAAAGTAACACAAACCCCATTAAAAACCTGGTGTGAACTGAGGTCCACAGGAGAGTAACCAGTTCCTGCTTCACTCGTCAATTAGGTGCAAAACTAAACACATAGAGCATGAAGATTAGATTGGTTTTTTTTTCAGTTATATGTTCGTAGTCTTGACTCTTGTTTTGTGTATACATATATATTGAAAGTGGATTATAATGCCGAATTGCAGAATTTATCTAGTGCAAAAAGAAGGACAAACTTCTATGTATGTTCCCAATTCATGATATAATAAAATATTCCCATATGATCAGCTCTATATTTGTAGCCAACGGAATATACAATGAATAAGTGTTTTTGTGTGGGAGTCTTTTAAAATGCTATATATATACATGATCTTATAGTATAATCTGCCTTAATCCACAGTAATTAACAGTTATTGATTAACACGGTACCACAATGGAATTACCTTACTAATAAGACAAATATCTCATAAAGTTCCACAATGAAAGTACTAGCAAATAATCCATAAATCCAAAGAACATCTCTTGTATTGGTGTCTATGTAGTCTTTTGGTACTCACTTTGAATATGGGAGATGATGGGATTGATACCCAGCTAGGTCAACACATAGACCTTAAAATTGCTATTTCCTGGGTCTCCTCCATATACGCAGCATTTCATAGTAAAAGCAAAGGCAAGTGGGGTTAGAGTCAAAATAAGTGTATGCACAATCTTACTGCTGACTGTTACCTTGTGAGTTAGCACATTTAAAGCCAAGTTCAACATGTCAGTCTAGTATAAATCAGTGTATATTCATAGCTGATTAACATGCTATCATCCTGATTTATACGCATATAATATTTACCACTAGATGTTTAAGTCCAGCATCATCATTCTAGTATAAAGCTTGGTATTTTCATATCTCATTAAAATCTTATCCTGAGTATCCATGTAATATTTGTCACTAGATGTTTAAGTCAAGCATATCAGTCTAGTATAAAGTAGGGTATATTCATATCTATTTTTAAAAAATCTTATTCTGAATATGTATGTAATACTTGCCACAAGTCATATAAGCATCCTTCAAGAGGGTCCCTAACTTTTATTAAGTGGGCATAAAAGGGGCTAAATAACAAAAAAATTAACCTACAGCAACTTTTCATTTATACCTCTCCTGCTGAGTTAAATTGTTAACTTTTAATCTATCACTTTTTGAAAGGTCAACAATTTGTTTATTTTGTAAATTACGGTACATAAAACCAGACATAAACTTTTTTATGTATCTTTTATATGTAAGTTAAGTATAAATTGTTTATTTACTTAATATTTTTACATATTTAATTTACTTGCTATTAAAGGGTATCATGCATTTGATTTGGCTTTTAATTCAAACTAAGTAAACTAGGGCCCAGTTTTTCATTCATTAAGGTGGTCATGTTATTATTCACAGTTGATAAAAAAGTAGTTTTTAAAAATATCAGAAAAGGGTTTTCTTTTTGTGAGGACTAAATTTTATAACTAAATCTACTTAAAAAAAATAAAAATGGATGATTTTTTTTTTTTTTATAAATTTTTTTTTCTAATTATACTGTAGTCATAATAGAGAAGGGAATCCGGGAATTTTTCACTCTCTGAAGAATTTATGTACTTCATAAAAAAAAAGTTTGAAATAAAAATTTTGGAAAATTATTTTCATTGACCTGTGTTTAAAATAATTGCAAATGGCTGATATTTTTGTTCGAGCATATTGTTTTTATACGACCGCAAAAAATTTTTTGGGATCGTATAATGGTATGGTGTCGTCGTCTGCGTCGTCGTGCGAAGACACATTTGGTTTCTGGACAATAATTTTAGTTTAAATGAATGGATCTCTATGAAATTTTTTAAGAAGGTTCAATACCAGAATAGGGAGGTTGGGATTGATTTTGGGGATGATGGTCCCAACCGTTTAGGAATTAGGGGCCCAAAAGGACCCAAAACAAGCATTTTTCTAGTTTCAGGATAATAACTTGTGTAAAAGTATTTTGATTGCTCTGAATTTGTACCACAATGTTTAATATCACAAGTAAAAGGTTGGGATTCATTTTGGGGGTTATGGTGCCAACAGTTTATGAATTAAAGGCCAAAAAGGGGCCAAAAACAAGCATTTTTGTAGTTTCAAGACAATAACTTGTGTGTGAGTGTATGGATCTCTCTGACATTGTACCACAAGGTTCCATATCACAAAGGGAAGTCTGGGATTGAGTTTGGGGGTAATTGTCCCATACATGCAGAAATGAGGGGCCAAAAAAGGGCCAAAAACCAGCATTTTTCTAGTTTCCAGACAATTACTTGTGTTTAAGTGAATGGATCTCTCTGAAATTGTACTACAAGGTTCCATACTACAAAGGAAAGGCTGGGATTGAGTTTGGAGGTAATTGCTCCAAGGAGGGATTCAAAAATGGTGGGGGGTTCCAATTTTTTTAAGGGCTTCATATTTTGTTTTCAAAATTTTTACAAATTTCAAATTTTTGAAAAGTTTCAAGAAGAAAGAAGAAACCTTAAATTTCACAGTATTGCGCAATAGATTTGTAAGATCTTTGACCACATTTATTTTGTGTCAGAAACCTATTTAGTATAAAAAATTTGATCACAATCCAAATTTAGACAGTATCAAGCTTGAATATTGTGTCCAAATTTGCCCCAACTGTTCAGGGTTCGACCTCTGCAGTCGTATCAGGCAGCGCTCAGCGAAGCATTTTTTTCTAAAAATTTTTTAACATTTCATACCGATATAACATGTTACTTTTATTATTCTCCCCTTAGTTTATTTATTTTGTATTTGCATTGTATCATAGGTCAAATTTATTTGTTCATTGTATGTTCATTGGTGTTAATATGTCCTTTGAGTTAAGCTATTTCAGTTGATATTTTATAGTGTGATTGAGTTAAGCTATTTCAGTTGATATTTTATAGTGTGTCTTTCTATGTTGTGATGTTACACTATTGTTTCATAAAAAGGGTGAAGGTTTGGTACCATTAAAACGTTTAAACCCGCTGCATTTGTTTGCACCTGTTTTAAGTCAGGAATCTGATGTTCAGTAGTTGTCGTTTGTTGATGTGGTTCATAAGTGTTTCTCGTTTCTCGTTTTTTATATAGATTAGACCGTTGGTTTTCCCGTTTAAATGGTTTTACACTAGTAATTTTTGGGGCCCTTTATAGCTTACTGTTCGGTGTGAGCCAAGGCTCTGTGTTGAAGACCGTACTTTGACCTATAATGGTTTACTTTTTTAAATTTTGACTTGGATGGAGAGTTGTCTCATTGGCACTCATACCACATCTTCTTATATCTATAAGCTCTCTGCTGCTCTCTCATAATAGTGTGAGATTTTTGTTAGGAATTGAGATTCCATATCATCAAATTAATATAAAAAGGATGTTTTCAAAAAGTTAAAACTAAAAATGCCTTTTTTAATATATGTATTTCAAGATTTAAATGACATGTAACGGTATGAGATAAGATCATAAGATTACGACTAAATATATATATATATATAAATGATTGGTCATGTTTGGATTATCAGAAGGTCATGGTTCTCTCTGGGCACTCCTGCTTCTTCCAATAAAAACTGGCAGCCACAAAATGGCACAATAGTACTGAAAGTGGTGTTAAATACCAATAAGTCAATCAATCATTCAGAACAAAAGACTATTTATCAATTATGGACTTTTGACAAGGTCAATACGTTATATATATGGACCTGTTCAGACTATATTATATATCATGATTGCTTGTTCTTGTCCAGAGTATACAATATATATTTTTTGCTGCTGCATGATTGATAAGCAGCAATCAGTCAATTATTTATTATTAAAACTTATTTCCTAATATTCATGGTTGAATTTGTTTGTGTCATTCCAGAATATCAGATAAAGGTGGAGGTATCGCTCATGACATTGTAAAACAAGTGTGGGACTATAACTTCACTACATCTGGAACAGACGAGAGGGTCAACACAGGACTGTTTGATGAGATTACAAGTCCTCAACATATGAGTGGTTCTGCTCCTGGCAGAATGCATGGGTAGGTATCATAAGTCCTCAACACCTGAGTGGTTCTACTTTTGGTAACACAGTTGCTAACAGGAATCTCCAAAAAGACAGCACATCAATCACCGACTCTGAACTCCTCAGGAAGGGTAAGACATAAAAGACATGCAACATCACAGCACAACTTTGTACATACACTAAATGTAAAATGTATGTGTATAAATAAAAAGTCCTCAGTGTATGAGTGGTTTTCTTGTTGGCAGAATTCATGGATATGTATCAAAAGTCTCAGACATACAAATTGTTTAGTCAATACAGAATACAGGATTTTGAATCACAAATTCCAGACATACATGAAGGCAGGTGTGTGTATCAAGTCCTAAATATATGAATGGTTTTGGTGTCTCTGGAGTGTAAGGGTATGCATCATAAGTTCTAGACATAAAAGTGGTTATGGTACCAACAGAATCTATTAAAAATCCAAGATATATAAGTACATCAAGAAAATCTCTAAAATAAATCCCTGCCATTAGTCAGCTAGAAAGGGCTTTACAAAAAGTAGAGAGTTTTATCAGATGGCATGGTTTACAGTGAATCATGCCAATACAGGAGAATTGGTTACTTCTAGAGGAGTTGTGTAAAAATTATTTGATTAACTTTTCATTAATTATCATTTTAGAGAAGTTGTGTAAAAATTATAACAAGTGATAAACTTCATATTAATTATCCTTTTTAGATATGGATTTGGGTTACCAGGTTCCAAAGCCTATGTGGAGTTCTTAGGAGGATCCCTAACAATAGAGACGATGCAGGGAATCGGTACAGACGTGTATCTACGGTTACCTCACATTGACGGAGACAGAGATAGTGGACATCGGGAACCATTCAGGATATAAATATTTCATCACATGCTTTTCACATTCTTGGTAACCATGGGAACACATTTAATATTGCTGCTGTATTACTTTTTTTCATGCAAATTTTGTTCATAAACTGTTCATCGTCAATGATTTCATATAGTTTGTATTTAAAAAAAATGCACTAGGAACAAAATGTTCAAGGTAAATTGTAGAAACCTGTAATATTTGTTCAATTTATGTGTTCCTTCAGTTTAATTTGTATGAATATTATAATGAAGCTAGTCGTGATTAGTTGATATGAAAAAAGAAAAATGTAGTCTAATACAATGTTGTCTCATAGTATCACATGTTGATGTCTCAATGTTTACATTGTCCTAAATTGACATCCTCTTGGATCACAACTTATTACACTTTGGGATTTAGTTTGGTGGATATTTTCTGACTAATCCTCCACCAAATCTTGTTCCAGCTATGTATAGTCATTTTTGGAATAATTTGATGCAAGACAAATGTAACCCAGGTATTTTTTTCAGTGCTGAAACTATGTCAAAATGAAAGCAAGGATCATTCAATAAAAAGATATTTTTTTCCTCAATAATTTAAAGAATTTTCTGCTTTGAATACTTCTTGTATTGTCATTTGTAAAAATGTTCCCTTCAAAACTTTTAACCATGTTTTTGTTTTGTTCTTGTGCATTTTCTGCCAAGGTCAGAAGATCGTTTAAAATGGATTAAATACTGGTATATTTAGTGTTGATAATTTAAAATCTAATTATAACTTTGATGATTTGTAACTGTTCGGTCAGTGTAATCATTTTCCGTCCGAAATTCAGTGAAAAAAGTGAATCTCCGGAATTTATAAATGAATCTCATTATAGAAAGAAATTTGAAAAGCTTGGTACTGAAATCCTTTTGTAAATCAGTACATTATTTATTGAGCTTATTTTGTTGTTTACATCCATCATATATATATATAGCTTTCTAACTTTTCATTTATTTACAAGACTTTTTTTTATGCCACTGTATATTTGTCATTCATAAATTCGCATAAAATGTTATCTGATTTTAATGTAAGTTTGTCTCCCCTTAGTAGACCTTGATATAATTTAACTTTTTACAGATGTAAAGATCTTGATCCTTATAAATAAAATTTGCTCCTTATTTCTTCATGAAGTTGGCATTTTTTTTAAGACAATAGCCTTAAAGTGCTGTTGAATTGTACAAGTTTTTACAAGGACATCCTGATAGTGCTTTCAAATAGTACTAGATTTTACATCCGTGTTCAAATGTTAGGTGCTTTGTTTGATGTGTGATAGGCTTAAAGTGTAAATAATCACAATTTTTTTCCCAGAAGGATCATAAAGTTTACTGAATTAGTATGTGTGGAATCTCTTTGAGTTTTTGTCTATTCACTGCAGTTATTTGTTTAAAATTAATCATTTTAGATTCAATATGTATAAAAGTTTATTTATATTTATTTCACATTAACAAATTTTACTTTATACAGAAATAAAGAGTACTAGTTGTATTGAATTTATATTTATTATTTATCAGTCAAATTGAAACTTTAGTTGTGGTTTTAATAAAGCTTAAAAAGCAATGAAGATGAATTTCATTTAATTTTATGTAGCAGTTACATATATTTTCATCCTAAATCATACATATGCCATGAATACTCCAAGTCTTCATTTGCTATTGACGTGTATTTCATCAATGTGTCAATATGTCTGTCTTTAATATTTATATTTGCTTGGTCAAGTTTATTTATAATTTTACATAAATAAGTTAATTTCCTGTAGATTTACACAGGAAATATGTGCTTAACACTTACTTGCTTTGCTTTGATATTGAAGATGAATTTCATATATTGTATAAATGTTAATGTTAACATTGATCTTTGATGGTATTTATGGTATTTGTCTACATGACTATGATTTGTGTTAGTTATAATATATTTTACGAATTTTCAATGTTGGCATATTGTCAATTGTTTTAGTCAGTTATGAATGTAGATTTTGAGTGGAATTATGCCATGAATATAGATGTGGGCATTAAAATTCACATAAAACTGTTGGACAAACAAGAAACCAAATGATATTGTAATGTTATTGTTAAATGTCAAGACTTGTATGAAGGGGGAATCACCACTGTAGCATGAAAAAAGGACAATTTGTGTCAACTCAGTATTTGAAAGGATAATGAAGATATAACTTGATACTGTACAGTGAGATGGACAGGATTCAGTGAAAATTTACAAATGAATTTTAGAATTTGTAATGATAGCACATGTTTATATGTTAAGCCTAATATGTAATGTTTCATTGTTTGTTAATTGTCTGAGGTAAGAGGGACATATGGAATCTTCAGGTATGAATAAACTCCAGCATTTCACTACTTCACTGTATTTTTCTTTATGCTACTAAAATGTACTGCCTTACTGGTCTCGCGGGAACATGCTGGCCTTGAGTGCAGGAGGTCATGTGTTTAATTCCAAGCAATGTAAACCAAAGACTTGAAAATTAGATATTTGCAGAAGAGGGGCCTTTTAGGGTACTGATCATCATTTTATCAAAGTTATAATTTTATTCTTTACCTCATTTGCAAAACATTATCTCATAAAAAGGGTTTTAACTTTTACATCATTGGAGAGTTGTCTCATTGGCAATCATATCAATTTCTTATTTTTATATTCAAAAATGGTATTTGCTGCTCCTTCAACCTAGCACCTGACAGCCAGGATTCTACTTCGTCAAAATTATCACCCCATTTTGTGGTCATATATTGGTATGACGTTGGCGTCGTCGTCGTCCGAAGACACATTGGTTTTCGCACTCTAACTTTAGTTTAAGTGAATGGATCTCTATGAAATTTTACCATAGGGTTCAATACCACAAAAGGAAGTTGGGGATTGATTTTGGGGGTTATGGTACCAACAGTTAAGGAATTAGGGGCCAAAAATAAGCATTTTTGTAACTTCCAGACATAACTTGTGTGTTAGTGTATGGATCTGTCTGACATTATACCACAAGGTTCCATATCACAAAGGGAATGCTGGGATTGATTTTGGGGGTAATTGTCTCCAAATTTTAGGAATTAGGGGCCAAAAAGGGGCAAAAAACAAGCATTTTTATACTTTCATGACAATAACTTGTGTGTAAGTGTATGGATCTCTCTGACATTGTACCACAAGGTTCCATATCACAAAGGGAATGCTGGGATTGATTTTGGGGGTAATTGCCTCCAAATTTTAGGAATTGGGAGCCAAAAAGAGGCAAAAAACAAGCATTTTTCTAGTTTCATGACAATAACTTGTGTGTAAGTGTATGGATCTTTCTGAAATTGTACTACAAGGTTCCATATCACAATGGGAAAGCTGGAATTGAGTTTGGGGGTAATTGCCCAAAACATTTAGGAATAAGGAGCCAAAAAGGAGCCAAAAATAAGCATTTTTCTAGTTTCCAGACAATAACTTGTGTTCAAGTGTATGGATCTCTCTAAAATTGTACTGCAAGGTACCATACCACAAAGGGAAGGCTGGATTGATTTTGGGGGTAATTTCCTCAAAATTTGAGGAATAAGGGGCCATAAAGGGGCCAAAAAAAACAAGCATTTTTCTAGTTTCAGGACAATAACTTGTGTGTAAGTGTATGGATCTTTATGAAATTGTACTGCAAGGTTTCATATCACAAAGGGATAGCTGGGTTTGAGTTTGGAGGTAATTGCCCTAAACGTTTAGGAATTTGGGGCCAAAAAACAAGCACTTTTCTAGTTTCCAGACAATAACTTGTGTTCAAGTGTATGGATCTCTCTGAAATTGTACTGCAAGGTACCATACCACAAAGGGAAGGCTGGGATTGAGTTTGGGGGTGATGAATCATAAGGGGTTCAAAAAATTTGGGGGGGGGGGGGGGGAGGATTTTTTTTTCCTTTTTTTTCTTTAAAATTTTCCATTTTAAATTGGTTATTTCTGATTTATATATAAAAGCAAATAATAATGATATGGTTTGATTAGGTAAATTAAAATTTTTTAAGTTCTTAGACCACATTCATTCTGTGTCAGAAACCTATGCTGTGTCAAATATTTAATTACAATCCAAATTCAGTGCTGTATCAAGCTTGAATAGTGTGTCCATACTTGCCCCAACTGTTCAGGGTTCGACCTCTGCAGTCATATCAAGCTGCGCCCCAGCGGTGCATTTTATTGAAATTGTGAAAATGGAAGCCGTTTTAGGGATGACGGTCATCCCTAAAACGGCTTCCATTTTCACAATTTCATCATGATGTGCTGTCAATTTAGCTTTGAAAACCAATAAATTTATCCACATACATGTAGCTTCATTACGATTCTTACATGACAGTTGTATTTTTTAGGACAAATGTATCTACTATCTATTAAACATCTTTTTATGTACTTAAAGGCTTTTTGTCAACTTAAAACTATTTTTTGATTGGTTGTCAGGGGGAATTTTCGAAAGTTAAAAAAATACTAAAAAATTGATATTAAATATTTCGTGGAAGGGCAGATTAAATATTTTCAGAGGTTGAAGACTTATTACCCTAGATACCACAAAGATATGCATTTTTAAGATCTGCTTGTAAAGTCTGTCGTCAAGAACTCTTAGTAAAAATTTGTTACTCAAACACACCTACTATGACTCATTAGAAAGGTATTTCACTTGACCCATATATTTCATTTTTATACGCCCGCAAAAAATTTTGGTATGACGTCTTCGTCGTCCGAAGACACATTGGTTTTCGCACTATAACTTTAGTTTAAGTGAATGGATCTCTATGAAATTTTACCATAAGGTTAAATACCACAAAAGGAAGGTTGGGATTGATTTTGGGGGTTATGGTACCAACAGTTAAGGAATTAGGGGCCAAAAATAAGCATTTTCTAGTTTCCAGACAAAAACTTGTAGAATGGTGTATGGATCTCTCTGAAATTATACCACAAGTTTCCATACCACAAAGGGGTGGTTAGGATTTGCTTTGGGGGGATATGGCTCCAACCGTTTAGGAATTAGGGGCAAAAAAGGGGGAAAAATGAGGTTGTCCTGGTTAATGGACAGATACTTTAGTACAAAACATAATTTAAAGCAGTTTTCAAGTTGGTCCAAGTTGGGGTCCAAAATTAAACTTTGTTTGATTTCAACAAAAATTGAATGTATGGGGTTCTTTGATATGTTGAATCTAACCATGTATTTTGATTTTTGGGCCCCGTTATCAAATTCGTCCACATTGAGGTCAAAAGGGTCCAAAACTAAACTTTGTTTGATTTCATCAAAAATTGAATTCTTTGGATTCTTTGATATGCTGAATCTAACCATGTATTTAGATTTTGGATATTGGACCATAATAGGTAAATTAAAAAAATTTAAGTTCTTGGACCACATTCATTCTGTGTCAGAAACCTATGCTGTGTCAAATATTTAATCACAATCCAAATTCAGAGCTGTATCAAGCTTGAATGTTGTGTCCATACTTGTCCCAACTGTTCAGGGTTCGACCTCTGCTGTTGTATCAAGCTGTGCCCAGCGGAGCATTTTATTGAGTATTATATCAACCTGTAGCATAAACATAAAAACAAAAGAATCTGAAGCGAGATGATGTATCAAATATATTTGCTTTATATGTTTTCAAGACAAAAGTATTAACTCAAACACACCTACACCTAAAAAGGTGTACTTGACTTTTCTCTTTCCGATGATTGATTGATTGATTGTTGGTTGCTTAACGTCCAGTGGCAAATATTTCATGCATATTCAGGACGAGAACAAGTTCACAATAAATACAATAGGTAGGTTCTGTAATAGATTAAGGGATTATGGTCGGAGAAATTTAGACTGCCACGGGAAATGAGGGTATATTGGATAGGGACAGAAATTTAGCCTTGCAACAGGTCACCTACGGACCCCTCTAAGAGTTGTTGCAAGGGTTCTTAACGTGCAAAGAGCGTGGCACTCTCTTTACACGAGGCATCGGATTTAACGTCCCCATTCTGACCGGACGTGGCTGCAAATTTGTACATCCCGCACAGCCAAACGGACGCCCCACTTTAGCACGGGTTTTACTGCCGGTCGGAGGAAGACCAATGGTGACCATACTTCTATTCCCCAGTCACCCTTGGGGGCTCTTTCCGATGAGTTTATTGCCCATTTTTAGGATTTTTTCACAAAAAAACTGTCGACTGGGGCAGAGATGCAAATTAATGCTTTAAAAAGATCATTCTTCTATCTTTCTGTGGATTATTTTTCGGCAGAATTTATGCTTATGCACAAAAAAGATCCACATGTATTTGTACCTACCACAATCGACTGTTTTGTGAAAATTTGTCTATAATTTAAAAGTTTACAAATATCTCGAAGTACCATACAATACTTTAAATGAAAACATGTATAAAACATGCAAAAAAAATCATAAAAGAGGCACTTACATTAAACTTTAAAGCCCATAGAAGCAAATCTGAACAATTCAAATATACCAACTTGGCCTTTTATGCCTTCTCTAATAAAGAGTTCCATTTCTTTTGTTTAATATCAACTGGATATCAGCCTGCTGACATTAAGGAGTAAGAGCAAGGACTGGTAGACTTGGAATTAGAATGATATGACCTTAGACTCTTTGGATAGGTGCAACATTCTTCACTCAAAAGAAGTACATGAGTCTTTACACAATCCATCTAGAGATAGTTCAGTTTAGAGATAGTTCAGTTTTACTAGTCAGCAATATCAAACAAAAAAACATTTTGTTATATGTTTTATTTTATTTAATTTGAGGCGTCTTATTATCACAGACCAATAATAACAAATCAATTATAAATACTACCAGTAAACATATACATAAAGGTCTCTTCCTAAAAAATTTGAATCCTTGTTTGGTATGGTACATATTGGTGTTTGAAATTAAAAGTCACCAATTACAGAATACTACACTGAAAACAAAATTATTTGATTTGACTCCTGCAAATACATAAGGCTTGTAAGAGTTTGGACAAAATTTTATCGCAACATCTAACTCCTCGAAATATATAAGGTTTGTAACTCCAAATCTATCTTGGAATCAGGACTCCTGGAACTCTACATGGCTTTTAAGAGGCTGTGCAGATTTTTGTCTTGCAATCTTCGCTGATTTGTCAATTTATTCAAAGACCTTTTGCCATCTGCTCTTCGCCGATTTGTCAATTTATTCAAAAGACCTTTTGCCAACTGGTTATTCACATCACACTCCTACTTAACTTTTAACTGAAAGACTTTGGACAATTACTCCAATTTTGGTGTGACAGAGTTTTATAGGCTTTTGGAACTAGGGAAAATTGTAAAAATACAAACAAAAAAAACTGCAAATAAACTATCTTTTTATTATTGAACTTCATACAATAAACAAAAAACTAGTGACAAGAACCATGCTTCTAAATGTTCAAAATCATAGACTTTTCCCAGGATCCAACAACTCATTTTCATGGAAATCTTAGGCATTTCAAGGCCTGGAATAACTTTAAAAAATTCCTGGCTTTTTCAGTTTTCAAGAAAGCATAGAGACACTTCAGGTTAGATTTTTGATACAGCGGCAATGAATTGAAATAAAATGCTCCGCTGGGCGCAGCTTGATACGACCGCAGAGGTCGAACCCTCAACAGTTGGGGCAAGTATGGACACAACATTCAAGCTTTATACAGCACTGAATTTGGATTGTGATTAAATATTTGACACAGCATAGGTTTCTGACACAGGATGAATGTGGTCTAAGAACTTAAAATTTTTTAATTTACCTATTCAAACCATATCATTATTATTTGCTTTTATATATAAATCAGAAATAACCAATTTAAAATGGAAAATTTTAAAGAAAAAAAAAGGAAAAAAAAATCCCCTCCCCCCAAATTTTTTGAACCCCTTATGATTCATCACCCCTAAAACTCAATCCCAGCCTTCCCTTTGTGGTATGGTACCTTGCAGTACAATTTCAGAGAGATCCATACACTTGAACACAAGTTAATTGTCTGGAAACTAGAAAAATGCTTGTTTTTAGGCCCCTTTTTGGCCCCAAATTCCTAAACGTTTAGGGCAATTACCCCCAAACTCAAACCCAGCTTTCCCTTTGTGATATGGAGCCTTGTAGTACAATTTCATAAAGATCCATACACTTACACACAAGTTATTGTCCTGAAATTAGAAAAATGCTTGTTTTTTTCCCCTTTTTGGCCCCTAATTCCTAAAATTTTGAGGCAATTACCCCAAAAATCAATCCCAGCCTTCCCTTTGTGGTATGGTACCTTGCAGTACAATTTCAGAGAGATCCATACACTTGAACACAAGTTATTGTCTGGAAACTAGAAAAATGCTTATTTTTGGCCCCTTTTTCCTAAATGTGTTTGGCAATTACCCCCAAACTCAATTTCAGCTTTCCCTTTGTGATATGGAACCTTGTAGTACAATTTCTGAAAGATCCATACACTTACACACAAGTTATTGTCATGAAACTAGAAAAATGCTTGTTTTTTGCCCCTTTTTTGGCCCCTAATTCCTAAAGTTTTGAGGCAATTACCCCCAAAATCAATCCCAGCATTCCCTTTGTGATATGGAACCTTGTGGTACAATGTCAGAGAGATCCATACACTAACACACAAGTTATGTCTGGAAGTTACAAAAATGCTTATTTTTGGCCCCTTTTGGGCCCTAATTCCTTAACTATTGGTACCATAACCCCCAAAATCAATCCCAACCTTCCTTTTGTGGTATTGAACCTTATGGTAAAATTTCATAGAGATCCATTCACTTAAACTAAAGTTAGAGTGCGAAAACCAATGTGTCTTCGGACGACGACGACGACGCCAACGTCATACCAATATACGACCACAAAAATTTTTAAAAGGAGGTAGAAAAAGTATGTTTACAAAATACATGTGTACAACAAAAATTCCCTAAAAGTAAAATCATCATAAACTATAAAGTATCAACAACTGCTATCGTTAATTATTGATGTATATAAAATATAGTTAAGAATATCAAAACATAACATGTCGTATTAATCTGGAATGAAACATAAGAAGGAAGACCTGCCTCCATCAGAAAGATATTACCGTAAGTAATTTGGTATTGAAGATTGTAAACCTAAACATATCCTAGTGACCTATATTTCATATTGTATAGAAAGGTTTCAATTGACACAATTTCAGAGAGAGTTACTTCCCTTTTGTTACCAGTTTGGAGGTCTAAGTGCACAAATTCCTTCATAAAGTAGTAAAATTCAACTTGTTATACTGACAACTAGACTTTAGAAAAAGTATTTTTCTGAACAAATTTTATTTCTTTTAGCCTTGCTTAATTCATCACAATCTCTTATACTTTGTTGTATGGCATGTTTCAATTTGGTTTTTCGAACAAGAAAATCAACCGTTGATCCCTCCAAAATGGCGGCCAAGAAAAATAACTAATTTAGAACTCAAATTATGTCATTTGAAACTTATCTATTGATAAAGAGGACAAGATTGCATAACCATAGATATGAATATGGAAATGAAATATAGGTTACACTTCTTAGTTTTGCTTGCATATTGATAAACTCCCTCTTTGGCTCAAGTTGGAAAACTATGCACGAAATTGTGGACACCAATACTAAATAAATTTGCAAAAGACTATAAAAAGTAATCATAAAAATATATAACATGATCTCAATAAAGATACAAAACAGAAGCATGATAACATACATACATAAGGTAAATGTTACCTTATAAATCTTACAGAGTACCTGTGTTTTATGCTGGAACTTAAAAATGGTAAATTATTCTGTAGAGTCAAAGAGAGTGGGCGATATGGTCAGGAAAAGTCAACACTTCTAAAGGGCATAACACACTCTGTTCAAAGTGAAAACCTTTAGTTTAGCTTTACTTTTTTTTTGATGCCACATAAACTTCAACCTTTATTCTTTGAACCTATTATTCTTGGCAACGGGTAATCACTAACTGATAAAATTATGCTTGACCTTCTATTTCACAAGGTCACTTCATCTGAACTTTTATAATACACTTCAACTCTCTTGGTTTGACAGTTGTGGTAAATTAACAAAAGGACAAAATTAAGCTTGTATTTTAAGTTCTTTCATATATATATATAGTGTTATGCACTTATATGCTCTAACTACTCTAATTACTCCTGAAAGTAATTTGCCAAACAGCAATAAGTACTAATCTTTCCTATTTTGCTAAGCACTATCAAAATTAAAATATCATGTGATAAATCATGAGATCTGGAATGATGACTGTGTGATAAACGAGACAACAGGACATTTCTTCCTAATCTTTGCCGAGATATGTGGAGAGGAAGCCATCTTAACTGTTTGTAATTGTGTGCAATGTTGGAATGAATCTCCTGCACGATCCGTGATCTTTGTGCATCCACTTATATCCAAGGCAATCAAAGACTGAGTCACAGGGTTGCCTGGCAACAGTAACTGTCGGATACCGTCGTCTGTCATCCTCGGGCAATAGCTGATGTCTAATTTCTCTAGTGATGTTAAATGATTAGGAATTTCTGATAGCGATGTATTAGAAATTTCTGTCCCTGCTACAGAAAGATGTTTTAATTTATGCAGACGACTAATATCTACCATCCCAGGATGTCTGTCTGCTGGTGGACGAATAATGTCCCGAAACTGTTCGTCAGACATCGTTATCCAACTGATATCAAGAGAATACAATAGAGGACAAATAGCAAATCCTAATGCACTAACAACGGCCCACGAACATGACGACAAAGAAAGAGTTTTCAGCTGAGGAATTCTAGCTAACAACCAAGCTAATTGTTTGTGTGTAAGTTTTGATGATTTTAGAATCAATGTAGATGGCTGTCGTTTCACAATGCCAATCAAATGAACTTGATAAATGTATTTTCCGCTGAGATTAATAGTTTTCCATAATGTATGATGCATGCACCATCTATTCCAAGTCTTACAACATCCCAAACTTTTAACTAAGGATGTGGGATTTAGATGAGCAAATATTTTCATCCATATTTCTCTACAAAGTGGATGATTTTTCCCATTATTCATTACAAAGTAGTCGGCTGGTGGAGGTGGGGGTGGGGGACGTATCACATATCGCTTTATATCTTTCAGAGGTTCTATTTTAAGTGGTGGTATTACTTCAGGAGTTATGTCCCCTCTTCCCGGTGCAAACAATTTACTTGGTTTATGCAAATCGTTAGTATCATTTGGTGTACTTTCAATTAGTTTTTTTCTTTTCCTTCCTTGACCTTGACCTCTAAAACCTGATTTTGAAGGTGTATGATTGGCTCCATGTTCAATGTATGAAGTAGAAGGAACATCAACGTCCATTACATTTTCAACCATATCTAATGCCTCTGTTGACAATTTCTTTCTGACTTTTGACCCAGCAGACCTCCTGAACTTTTTGAATCCATAAAGCCGTCTTCCCCTTGGTGATGTAAGAGCCTATAAGTACAAAGATGTGGAGTTAAGACACTGATGTTCCAAGTTCAAAGTTCAAACTAGTTCCTGGTCTGAATTTGTGTTGGATCTTCTCTGTTCAAGTTTCCAAAGGAAATAAACAGCTAGAAGGAAAATGGGAAATAGAAGTCTTTTCATTCAACAACTTTTTTTTCCTTTTTTTTTTTCTTGCCATTTTAGTCTCAAGGTCAAAGGCCATGAGGAAGAACAACACAAATTCAGTTTGAACTATATAAAATTTATTTCATTCAAAAACATATCAAACAATCAAAGTAAAAGAAACATCAAAATGAAATCTTATTCTTCTGATTATCGATCTTAAAATATAGTGCAATGACAATTCTATTAAATTTCTATTTTTGACTCACAAAAATGAGAATTGTGATTGTTTCATAACTTTTGCTTTGAGTGAATAACAAAAGGAATAATAGACTACTTTGAACAGATTTGTCTTTTTATTCTTCAGTACTTCCTATACATTATAAGACAAACAAATTTCAGAGAATTATTTCATTTGATGACGTAATGATTTAAAACCAAATTTGTTTATTTCTTCTTTTTTTGCCATTCAAAGAAATCAAATTAATGAAATAATTGAATACTGTAAATTCAGAAATTTTGCGATGTTTCTGTTATTGTGAAACTTTGGATCGGAAAGGTTTCACGAAAATAAAAAAAACTTGCATTTTAAAATTCTGAAAGCATTATTTGTATGTAGCAATTCCTGAAACAATTACAGACAATCTCATATTTTTATCAATTGTTCCACAATCTCAATAAAAAATGTACACAGAAATTTCTGAATTTACAGTATTTGAAAATGAGTTGATTTACTTTCCACATTATTTAATACATAAAAAAATGATAAAATTTTAATAACTTATATACACAACTTGAATCTGATAGTATGGCATTATACTACAAAATTACCAATTAAGTTATATGCGATGTGATTTATGTAAACCGTCCCGCAGACATTTCCCTCAATAATATTACATAAACAATCATACTAAATGAAGAGGTAGCATTGTGTCAATTAAAGATGAATACTGTTGATTCATTTATTTTCGTGGGTACCAATAGTCGTAGTTTGAGAAAAAAGTATTTTCGTGGATATTTGATTTCATGGTTTTTCCAAAGTCTGTCATGAAGCCTATAGAAATTTGTACTTCGTCGAATATCTGAATTCGTGCTTCACCTTTATTCATGAAAGTTGGTTTCCCACGAATAATAATGAATCAACAGTCCATTAAAACAAACATATTATTTATCTATATAAACATAAAACAGGATACCCAATTAAAAGAAGCCATTTTTTATACCTTTCATTGCCCCAACAGCCCATAAAAAAATGAATGAAACACCTCTAGATAATGCAATGATAGAGAACAGAATGTTCCTTGTCTGCTATCCCTTTCATTCATAAAATGTTCAACATACAAAAATATATGAAGAATCTAACAGAATAGTTCGTATGTTGAAAATATGAGGATCTTTTACAGGAAATTTTGAAAATCAGTGTTTGGTAAATATTACCATCTCTAGTAAAGTGTTATAATAAATTCTAATTGAAGCAATATTTGAAAATTGACTAAACTGTGTTAAACTTTGTTGAAATTTAACATTGGTAACAAAAAAGATCTACTGAAAATCCCTAAAATATTTCATTGATGCATTCAAAATTTTAATGCTAGGAAATAAATTCGTTGTTGTGATTTTAGATTCATTGTTTAAACATTAGAACAGAAAATATGAATTAGTTGAGTATTGATAATTGGGGATAACACTTATTGTTCTGAATATTAATTTTTGACTAATAAACATGAAACATTATGAAGGAAAACAAAATCAGTCAATTTATATTAATGATTTGTACTCTTACAATATTCAATTATGCAACTAATAAAAAAATTGTTATGGTTGATTAAACATTCATACTTCCTTTCGAAATGAAGAATTAAAATAAACTTACCTTTAAAAAATTTCTAATTATATTATATTAACAATAATCACAATTTCTCTTTCTTTTTTTTTTTCGATATGTATAAACAAAATTGGCACATTCAGATATTCATAAACAAAATGTTCTTCAATACATGTATATATATAACTAGAATGATTTTACAACCCTCGTAAAATGAATTTGGAAAATTGGATCTCAAGAGCATAAATTGGGGTAGTTTTCAAATTAATCAACTTTTGTTTCACCTCAAAACTCAATCGTCATTATTCATTTGTTTTTAGGACTGTTTAGTATCCATTTTTTGTTTGTTATCATTATCATTATTTTCTCACGTTACAGTAGGTGCATTTTGAAGTTACAGAAACCTAACCTATATAACAGTATCAAGATATTTTAGAATGTTTTGATGGTCATATGATTTTAAGTTATGATGTATTATGCTCATTGTTTGCCCATTATCCATTTTCTTCGAGTAAAAATTAAAAAAAAACTTACTTTACTAAACAGGTATAATTGGTCTTCTGATCAATTTATAAATTTCATGAATTTCACCTTTTAACTTTGTCACTTAATTTATAAAAAATTTAGTAAACCTTGTCACCGCAATACCTTTTGTATGAAAAATAACCCTCCCCAAAAATAAAACCCAAACAAAACAAAACGAATAGAAAATAAATTTAACATATTCAGAAATGAGATCATTGGATTAATTGATTATAATTTAAATTACTATTCATAATTAAAATAAGTATTAAAATAAAAATAAAACAAAAAAGTATCTGGTTACACAAAAATAATGGTGATGAAATGAAAAAAAATGATTTCAACCGCCAACATATCTTTTTCGTATCTTGCCCTATATCTAATACAAAAAGTGGGAGATTTAGAAAAACGGAAATGAACGCCTTATTTTAATCTTGCTTGTTAATTTTAAACATTTAGGAAGTTTAATATACTTTTTGGTTCCAACTGTTATTTTTCAAAATCCTGGATGTGCCAAAGATTAATCCGTGATTTTTTTTTATCCATACTGGCCTTTATAAAAGTATATACACTGAAATAAAAAAAAATTACAACAGATTTGAGCAGCGATACACGGCAAGTTTTCATTTTCCCCTGAAAAAAACTATGAACATGAATAACGAGCGTCAACAGTAGTCCAAAAATCTACGAGGTGTAACTACCTCACGTCTAGGTCGCTTAGCCATGTGATCTGATGTCATATTTTCATCGCTCAGATTCGGTGACCTTTTTATGGTTCGTCCAGATCTAGTTTTGACAGACTCTGGTGTTTTTGCAACTCCATTGGTTTTTGGGTTATCTCCCTTGGGTGTCCCTTGTACTTCCTCTGACGTTGGTAGAGGGTGATCAATAACATCACCATGGTCGTCAGGTTTGATGGTTTTCTTTAATGGAGAAGCTTTGACATTTGTTACGGACTTCTTCTACAAAAGATAAAATATACAGGATTAACATACATTGCATGAAATCGGTCTCATCTCCAACTTTTTTTTTTAGCAACTTCTTGTTTAGGGCTATTCCATTTCAGTAAATGTGTAAAGGTAGGTAAGGAAGTTGTATTACTCATAATTGGTCATGTGTAATTTATACATGGGTGTATGTCCATTTGAAGTACTTTCGAACCTCGTTGTGTGGAACTCGGTTATTTCAAAAACTCGGCTGAGTGGAAGTAATTTCTCGTTCCCAGTAAAATTCCCGTTTAAACAATGCAAATTTACCTCCGATGAATCGAACTCAGTTGATTCGAATACTCGGTTAAGCGGAGTAAATTTGATGGTCCTGTCAAATAAATTCAAGTCGGATGTATTATGTTACCTAATCATTTCAAAAAAAAAGATTAAAGCTGTGTAAACAAACTTGTTTGTATAACAGTTAAAACGACATGTTTATGGTGACCGGTAATTAACACCTTTGTTGATCGTCCAAGCAGAACTTCAGTGTGTTGAACATATTTCACCTGACATAAAAATGAAACGAATTTAAATGACCAAAGCAGAGATTAAATGAATCTTTAGAATTAAAATTCATTAATTACAATAAATAAAAGGATGAAGACAATTATGATAAATTTATAATAAATGAATGCAAAGCAGACGCCCCGATTCGAGATTTTCAGAACTTTCGTTCCTAGAGTGATTTCATAATTTATAGTGACTGACCTTTGTAAATATTTGTGTTTGTGTATTGATTTTATTTGTGAATGTTTTGTATCTGTACTTGTTGTTTAATTATTACGAGGGACCAAAAAATATGGAGTTTGAATACACAATAATAAAGTGCCATATTGAAAAACACTGTTAAAAAAAAAGCTAGTTTACACAAATCTAATACCGTATTTCGTGCATTCAAAATTTATGACGACAAACTCGACCTCGGATGAGTCGAATCTCAGATAAGTCGAATACTTTTGACCGGTACCTTCGACTTAAACATAACCAGGTTCGACTGTATGTAAAATTACTCATAGAAAGTATGTTGGTTGTAGGGATTTTTAAAGTCACCTCCTACCCCCTCACTTTCATTTAAATGGAATGCCCCTTAAAGATATGTTAATGTTCTGTATATATTTTTTAAAACTAAATAAATCTCATTATCAGAAATAGAGGTGTAAAAATATTTTGCTATTTTGTACACAACAATATGCTGAATCAGCTTTTTCAGTTTTTGACCTGCCAGCTCAGGATGAAGACATGTCACCATACCCAGATAAGTCATTTCTAGTTTTGAGTTGATGTGTCATAGGTTTTACTCTTTACTCCTTTATGCTTGTTGGAGCTGCAGCAAATACTTAATTTCAAATCTTTGGTTGGACAATGCTACCACAGGACCATCATGGAAGTTTCAAGCTGTTACCTTGTGAGCTGGCACGTTAAAAAACATAAGAGTAGCAGAATTTTCAGCAGGAAAACTGACAATCCTAGTCATTAAGTGTGGGTTTATCTTCAGCAGGAAAACTGACAATCCTAGTCATTTAGTATGGGTTTATCTTCAGCAGGAAAACTGACAATCCTAGTCATTTAGGGTGGGTTTATCTTCAGCAGGAAAACTGACAATCCTAGTCATTTAGGGTGGGTTTATCTTCAGCAGGAAGACTGACAATCCTAGTCATTTAGTATGGGTTTATCTTCAGCAGGAAGACTGACAATCCTAGTCATTTAGTGTGGGTTTATCTTCAGCAGGAAAACTGACAATCCTAGTCATTTAGGGTGGGTTTATCTTCAGCAGGAAAACTGACAATCCTAGTCATTTAGGGTGGGTTTATCTTCAGTAGGAAAACTGACAATCCTAGTCATTTAGGGTGGGTTTATCTTCAGTAGGAAAACTGACAATCCTAGTCATTTAGGGTGGGTTTATCTTCAGCAGGAAAACTGACAATCCTAGTCATTTAGTATGGGTTTATCTTCAGCAGGAAAACTGACAATCCTAGTCATTTAGGGTGGGTTTATCTTCAGCAGGAAGACTGACAATCCTAGTCATTTAGTGTTGGTTTATCTTCAGCAGGAAGACTGACAATCCTAGTCATTTAGGGTGGGTTTATCTTCAGCAGGAAAACTGACAATCCTAGTCATTTAGGGTGGGTTTATCTTCAGCAGGAAAACTGACAATCCTAGTCATTTAGGGTGGGTTTATCTTCAGCAGGAAAACTGACAATCCTAGTCATTTAGTATGGGTTTATCTTCAGCAGGAAAACTGACAATCCTAGTCATTTAGGGTGGGTTTATCTTCAGCAGGAAAACTGACAATCCTAGTCATTTAGGGTGGGTTTATCTTCAGCAGGAAAACTAACAATCCTAGTCATTTAGTGTGGGTTTATCTTCAGCAGGAAAACTGACAATCCTAGTCATTTAGTGTGGGTTTATCTTCAGCAGGAAAACTGACAATCCTAGTCATTTAGGGTGGGTTTATCTTCAGCAGGAAAACTGACAATCCTAGTCATTTAGGGTGGGTTTATTTTCAGCAGGAAGACTGACAATCCTAGTCATTTAGGGTCGGTTTATTTTCAGCAGGAAGACTGACAATCCTAGTCATTTAGGGTGGGTTTATTTTCAGCAGGAAGACTGACAATCCTAGTCATTTAGTGTCGGTTTATTTTCAGCAGGAAAACTGACAATCCTAGTCATTTAGGGTGGGTTTATTTTCAGCAGGAAGACTGACAATCCTAGTCATTTAGTGTTGGTTTAATTTCAGCAGGAAGACTGACAATCCTAGTCATTTAGGGTGGGTTTATCTTCAGCAGGAAGACTGACAATCCTAGTCATTTAGTATGGGTTTATCTTCAGCAGGAAAACTGACAATCCTAGTCATTTAGGGTGGGTTTATCTTCAGCAGGAAAACTAACAATCCTAGTCATTTAGTGTGGGTTTATCTTCAGCAGGAAGACTGACAATCCTAGTCATTTAGGGTGGGTTTATTTTCAGCAGGAAGACTGACAATCCTAGTCATTTAGGGTGGGTTTATTTTCAGCAGGAAGACTGACAATCCTAGTCATTTAGGGTGGGTTTATTTTCAGCAGGAAGACTGACAATCCTAGTCATTTAGTGTCGGTTTATTTTCAGCAGGAAAACTGACAATCCTAGTCATTTAGTGTCGGTTTAATTTCAGCAGGAAAACTGACAATCTTAGTCATTTAGTGTTGGTTTAATTTCAGCAGGAAAACTGACAATCCTAGTCATTTAGTGTTGGTTTATCTTCAGCAGGAAGACTGACAATCTTAGTCATTTAAGATTTGCACCTGCAAAGTGCAGGGTTAGAACTCACAACCTCAGAGTTGATATACTTGTGATACAGTAGATATACTACTTATACCCCTTGGCCACCAAGGCCCCTTAAGAATGATACATAAATGAATCATACCTATGTTTTTTGAGATATGGATCTAAATATACTAAAAGTCTTACTTTTACCAAAATTATCTATTAGTGTGGGTTTATTTTCATCCATAGTTTAAAAAAATATATCTCTTTCCACTAAATTTTACCATTTTAAGAGGAGATCTCTGTTTAGAAATCGCTGGTGATGACTTTTTCTCTTTGACTCCTTCAGTAATTTTTCTTTTCGCTGTCAACTTCTTTTTCAGGACATCTTTCTTCCCTTTGTTTGGTTCCTGGTTGTCTGTTGTTACTTTTTGTGGTGATACAGCTCTATCATCATAACATTCCATTTCTAAAGCCACTTCATCTAAATCTGTTTCACTAGCATAGGAGATTGGCGAGTGCTGGAAACAAAATTAAAATCTATTGAAAAAAAAAAATACATACCCTCCTAGACCTAGACAAGTGAAATTTAAACCCTACCCCCTATGTATGTCCATTTATAAGTTTTAGCATTTACTGTAAGAATAATAGTTGATGTATTTCTTTTATAGTGATGTCAACGACTACTTGAGTACTCGAGTATCGCCTGGTACTACCAAGTATCAAATGCAAAAATGATACTCAATTAATCGGTTTCCTGTTAGGACATTGTTTCGTTCTTTCCATATTTTTTTTGAAAACGCCATTCCGAGAATTCAATAGAAATCATTTAATAATATTAGCTTAAAAAACGTTTCGTATGTCTGCACGAATTTAAAATTTAAAATGCATCCGCAATCTTCCAATTTAAATACTTTACGAACAGGTTGCACCAAATTAGAGCAAAATATTGTTCCGAAGAACATAATAAAGTTAAAACGGACAATCGGGCATTACATCAACAACTTCTAATCATATAATACCTTTGTAAATGTGTTATGTTTACAATTATAAAATGTTACTGTTGTTTGATCTGGTTAGACTTTGTTTATTATATTTAAAATTGTTTACTTTATTGGTACATGTAGTGATTGAGCTATTAATTATGGTATCATGTCTGGAACTATAATTATCTACCCCAAAATACTGATGTTCAGGGATTAACGTCAATTAAGCAATGACCAACAGCGCGCGTAAAAGGCGGACTATTGTTTTCCCCATTTTGTAGATATTTTTCCGATCGAGAACTCGAGTATCACTCGATAAAATCAAATGGTACTCTATTAGTAATTTTTCACTGAGTTGACATTCCTAATTTTTTAAGATTATGAAACATGTAGTTTATCTTTAATTTTGTGCATCAGTATTTTCTGTATATATTTTTTTCAAACACTGTTCTGTTAAAATAAATTCAAGATTTCCTTAGATAGAGTTTATGAAAGAAGATAATTTCTTCTTATTGATTTGTTAGTTTCCTATAGATAATGATAAAAAAAAATCAAAAACAGTTACCCCAAACGTGACAGTGATGTCTTTGTTTTTGCTATGGGCGCTCATTATTACATGAAAGGGACATTTGAATAAATTTTGCGCCAATTGAATCTCTGTAATGAGAATTTGAATTTAAGTTCTAGTTTACCATCTGCTCCTTGACTGTAACCCGTTTTCCTTCAGTTTCCTTTGGTGTATTTTTTACATCAGGTATTGATACTGTTGGTGCTGCTATTGGATCCTCATTTTTTACTTCAGTTTTAACCCTAAGCTAAAACAGACATTATATCATTTTAATAAAGTATTCTATTTAAATTTTTAAAATGGGGTGATGAAAATTTAATATGAGAAAGAATGCATGTGTTGTGCTAAGCATACCCCACTTGTAATTCCAAGCATCAGAAAACTAGAAGGTGTCTGACAGATCTCAAAAGCACACAAACATCACTGTTGAGCTGATGACCAAATATGATGACATTCTGTTCAATAGTTTCTGAGAAAAGTGTGACAAAAAATTTAAGTTGATTCACCAAGACTGAGGTTGAAAAACTCAAAGCATCATTACAATATTAAATACTAGCAAATATGCAAATTTTCAATTTCTTTCACTGTGCCAAAGGGAAAACCATAAATTTAAGAAAGAATGAATCATTTCCCATCAATAAAAAACAGTACTTTCATAATATAGTTTTACTTGATTACATTATTTATTATTAATTTGAAACAAGAGTGCACACACTGAAATGTCTCGCCTGCTTTACTGACCATTGATTTTATGTTGATAGTCCTAAATATAAAGTTTTACTACAAGTATCACATAAACTTAAAATGATCAAAGAAAATGAGATCAAGGTCAGATAAACCAAGCCAGAAATACATGTACAGCTTAAAATAATTCCATACACCAAATATAGTTGACCTATTGCTTATAGTATACAAAAAACAGACCAAACCATGAAAACCTTATATTGAGCAAAGAACCATGAAAATGAACCCTGCCAGACAGACATGTACACCTTACAATCATTCTATGCTTTAAATATAGTTGACCTATTGCACATAGTATCTAAGAAACAAACTTAACCAGGAAAACTTAACATTGATCAATGAACCATGAAAATGAGGTCAAGGTCAGATGAACTCTGCCAGACAGACATGTACACCTTTCAATCATTCTATGCTTAAAATATAGTTGACCTATTGCACATAGTATCTAAGAGACAAACTTAACCAGGAAAACTTAACATTGATCAATGAACCATGAAAATGAGGTCAAGGTCAGATGACACCTGCCAGTTGGACATGTACACCTTACAATCATTCCATACACCAAATATGGTAGACCTATTGCTTATAGTATCTGAGATATGGACTTGACCACGAAAACTTAACCTTGTTCACCGATCCATAAAATTAGGTTGAGGTTAAGTGAAAACTGTCTGACAGGCATGAGGACCTTGCAAAGTACGCACATAACAAATATAGTTATCCTATTACTCATAATAAGAGAGAAATAAAGAATACTATAAATCTTAACTTTTTTTTTTCAAGTAGTCACTGAACCATTAAAATGAGGTCAAGGACAATGGACATATGACAGACGGAAACTTCATAACATAAGGCATCTATATACAAAGTATGAAGGATCCAGGTCTTCTAGACTACCTCTTAAAATATTAAGCTTTTAAGGGGTTTGTTAACGCCGCCGCCGGTTACTATCCCTATGTCGAGCTTTCTGCGACAGAAGTCGCAGGCAGGCTCGACAAAAAATACATTGTATTTCATTTTGTAGAAAGTTTTAAATAAACAAAAGTATTCTCTACTTATATTACTCAACTCAAAAAATTTCTTCAATAAATGCAAAATACTCTCAGATCGGTACTCTGTGTCTTTTGTGTTTTTGTTAGTTTTTTTTTGTGTGCTTTGTATCAATCTGATGAGTTAAGCCCTTTTCAACTGATTTTTATAGTTTGTTCTGATGCTGTACTGTTACACCACTGTCCCAGGTTAGGGGGAGGGTTTGGCGCCAGCAAACATGTTTAAACCAAAACATTTTTTATTTGACTGTCCCAAAGTCAGGAGCCTGTAATTTAGTGGTTGCCGTTTTTGTTACGGTATATCATATTTGATTTTTGTTTATTGTTTTGTACATAAATTGGGCTGCTAATTTTCTTTTTTGGATTATTTTACATATGTCATTTCGGGGTCTTTTATAGCTTATTATGCGGTATGAGTTTTGTTCATTGCTGAAGGTAGTATGGTGACCTATAGTTATTAACTTCTACTTCATTTGGTCTCTGGTGGATAGTTTTCTCATTGGCAATCATATCACATCTTCTTATTTTTAGATATCCATGATAGACATATGTATATAAAGATAATGATGAACCATACTTACTTGCTCAACATTAGTAAATGATCCTCATATAAGTCACAGATGATTTATTCATTACCTTTTCGTATTCATTTATTTCTCAATCATAATCATGTTTGTTTCATATACTACTATTTCATATATTCATATTCATGAGTTCATCTGATTTCATATTTCAGTTGACCTGACCTGAAATGACCTGCAATGACCTGAAGTTCTATACATGTACTAACATTTACATGCACGAGTATGTTTGCATGCTTTCACCTGCGAAAAGTTGTAATTCTAAGGGTACTAATTTTCCACTATTACTCTTGGTTCATTAGTCGATGTACAAGGTAGTTAGTTTAAAACTATGGCTGTTATATTTTCAGTTATGAAATTCTGTATGCCAATCATAAGTATTATAGCAGTTGTAAAGGTATTTCATATATGAGAGTGTCCATTTCTAACTGCGACATAAACTATTAATGACGTTACAATTGATTGACATTGTTGTACATTTCCCTTAGAATCTAACACTGATTTTTTTTATCGAATTTCATTTAATGATCCCTTTAGGAATCATGTAAACATATTCAAACATTTCTATTGTGGTAGAATGTATGTGTGTGAGTACATGTTTGTGTGATTACACATTAAAAGTACACAAACATCTACCTGTAGTGGTCCCTTTGATGTATCATGTAAACACTTGGGACATTCCCATTGTTGTCGGATATCTTCATTGATAACACCTTCACTGTTTAAGTTCTCGTACTTCTGATGTAAACAAGGAACGTGGATGATCTCCCAACACAAACTGCACTCCATTAACTGGTTGGGTTCTGGTTGGTCAGCTTTGTTACAAATCAGACAGGTGGCATTGTGTGGTAATACAGGCTGTAATTTGTAAAAATAAAAGCTATTACAAATCAGAGAGGTGGCATTTTGTTGTAATACAGGCTGTGATATGTAATAAATTGCTTGGCTGAGCGCAGCTGATACGACCGCAGATGTCCAACCCTGAAAAGTTGGGGCCAAAATGGACACAGTATTCACGCTTGATACAGGTCTGAATTTGGATTGTAATTAAATTTTTGACACATAATAGGTTTCTGACACTAAATAACTGTAGTCAAAGAACTTCAAATTGGTTATATGATTTGAATTTATATTCAATTTTTTGCTTTTGTGCAATACACTATGCGAATTGACACCCCCCCCCCAAAAAAAAAAAAAATTTTACTCCGTTTTTTTGCGTTTGTGCAGTTGAATATTAACCCCCCCAAAAAAAATATTTGAAGAAATTTTCTTTTAATTTCTGAAATCTGAAATGAGAAAAATTGTCCCCCTTCAATTTTTTTCACCTCCCCCTTTTCCCTTATTCCAAAAAATAATTCTTTCCCTAAAGTTATGGTCAGTATCTCAGACAATCATCATTTCTTAATACACAATTTACAAGCAGTGTAAGGGAGGTAATCCTAAATAGTTTGAGCCATAACCCCCCAAAGTCAATCCTAACTATTCCTTTGTAGTATGGAAACTTGTGGTATAATTTCAGAGAGATTCATACACTTTAACACAAGTTATTGTCTGGAAACTACAAAAATGCGTATTTGGGCCACTTTTTGGCCCCTAATTCCTACACAGTTGGGACCATAACCCCCAAAATCAATCCCAACCTTCCTTTAGTGGTTATAAACCTTGCGTTAAAATTTTATTGATTTCTATTTACTTATACTAAAGTTATTATCCGGAAACCATCTGTCTTCGGATGACGCTGACAACGACGACGACAACGTGATACCAATATACGACCAAAAAAATTTTAATTTTTGCGGTCGTATAAAAATAATAGCTATTACAAATCAGAGAGGTGGCATTTTGTTGTAATACAGGCTGTGATATGTAAAAATAATAGCTATTACAAATCAGAGAGGTGGCATTTTGTTGTAATACAGGCTGTAACATGTAAAAATAATAGCTATTACAAATCAGAGAGGTGGCATTGTGTGGTAATACAGGCTGTAATATGTAAAAATAATAGCTATTACAAATCAGAGAGGTGGCATTTTGTTGTAATACAGGCTGTAACATGTAAAAATAATAGCTATTACAAATCAGAGAGGTGGCATTGTGTGGTAATACAGGCTGTTATATGTAAAAATAATAGCTTTTACAAATCAGTGAGGTGGCATTTTGTTGTAATACAGGCTGTAACATGTAAAAATAATAGCTATTACAAATCAGAGAGGTGGCATTGTGTGGTAATACAGGCTGTTATATGTAAAAATAATAGCTATTACAAATCAGTGAGGTGGCATTTTGTTGTAATACAGGCTGTAATATGTAAAAATAATAGCTATTACAAATCAGTGAGGTGGCATTTTGTTGTAATACAGGCTGTAACATGTAAAAATAATAGCTATTACAAATCAGTGAGGTGGCATTTTGTTGTAATACCAAAAGTAACAAATAGAGTAATTAATATTGTACAGTGGGAAATTTTGGCAATGATTTTACTTTTTGCTAATTTTGTGATTTTGAAAAATCATGAATATATACCTTCGAGTAAATATGATCTAAAAGAAAGAAAGAAAGCAGGAAATGACAATGCAAAAAATGAAACATCAAGAACAGATTTGGCCCTTGAAATCATAAAATTTAGACTTCAAAAAATTAAACCACTTTACAATAGGTATTTTAATTTGCTTGGACGAATCAATGCTGTCATTTATTGTTTTCAGCTTACATTAAAAAATGCAGGTAGAAGACTATATCATCATAAAACTATTACAAAATAGTATATGTATATGCAAAATAGCTAGAATTGGTCCAGGAATAAAATACGGAGGGAGAGAGTTATCCAAACATCAACCAAATCCTTTACCTATCTAGACAATATGTCAAAAAACTTTTACATTTGATCATCTTTCACATTAATACTTACAGAGAGATGCTGCTTGCTCTTACAACACCCTTCCCCCTTACCTAAATAGGTAGTATGTCATAAAACTTAAATACAACAAGAGGATAGTGATGGGTGCCATCACATCAGACCCTAATCAATATTTTTTTACTATACTTACAGAGAGATGCTGCTTGCTCTTACAACACCCCCCTTTTATACCTTAATAGACCATAGGTCTTAAACTTTAATACATTTTGATCATCTTTCACTAAACTTACAGAGAGACACTGCTTGCTCTTACAACACTGTTTCATTCTGCCTGATCCGCCAAACTTCTTCATATCTTTACAGAAATTACATTCACCACAATCTGATCGTGTACATGGTTCACATTTCTTACACCTTGTTCTCCGACGACGAACAACCTCTGACTTCTGTAATTTTCCCTTTGCAGCTTTTGGTGCTTTCTGTCCAGACGAAGTATATTGTTTTTTTGGCTTGATTGCCTGAAGTAGACAACACAGATAAAATAATACTGAAAGTATAATATAAAATGTTGCCTGTCAAGCTGAATATCCTTACCATTCCAAGGCCCTCTTTTTTTTATGAGGGTTGACAGGTAATGCACAAAGTTGAGGTTTTTAAGTGTTTGCTGTTTGTATACATTTCTTTTTGTTTTTCTGGATTCTCTCTGGTGGAGAGTTGTCCACATCATTTGGTCTATGGTGTAGAGATGTCTACGTCATTTGGTCTCTGGTGGAGGGTTGTCTACGTCATTTGGTCTCTGTTGGAGAGTTGTTTACGTCATTTGATCTATGGTGGAGAGTTGTCCAGGTCATTTGGTCTATGGTGGAGAGTTGTCCATGTCAATTCATCTACAGTTGAGAGTTGGTCTACATCATTTGATCTATGGTGGAGAGTTGTCCATGTCATTGATCTACAGTGGAGAGTTGTTCATGTCATTTTTCTACAGTGGAGAGTTGTCTACGTTATTTGGTCTATGGTGGAGAGTTGTCTACGTCATTTGATCTACAGTGGAGAGGTGTCCATGTCATTTGATCTACAGTGGAGAGTTGTCTACGTCATTTGGTCAATGGTGAGGAGTTGTCCACATCATTTGTTCTACTGTGAAGAGTTGTCTACGTCATTTGGTCTATTGTGGAGAGTTGTCTACGTCATTTGATCTACAGTGGAGAGTTGTCTACATCATTTGATCTATGGTGGAGAGTTGTCTATGTCATTTGATCTACATAGGAGAGTTTTCTACGTCATTTGGTCTATGGTGGAGAGTTGCCCATGTCATTTGATCTACAGTGGAGAGTTGGTCTACATCATTTGATCTATGGTGGGGAGTTGTCTACATCATTTGATTTACAGTGGAGAGTTGTCCACATCATTTGGTCTATGGTGTAGAGTTGTCTACGTCATTTGGTCTATGGTGGAGAGTTGTCCATGTCATTTGATCTACATTGGAGAGTTGTCTACGTCATTTGGTCTATGGTGGAGAGTTGTCTATGTCATTTGATCTACAGTGGAGAGTTGTCTACATCATTTGATCTATGGTGGAGAGTTGTCCATGTCATTTGATCTACATTGGAGAGTTGTCTACATCATTTGGTCTATGGTGGAGAGTTTTGTATACATCATTTGATCTACAGTGGAGAGTTGTCCACATCATTTGGTCTATGGTGGGGAGTTGTCCACATCATTTGGTCTATGGTGTAGAGTTGTCTACGTCATTTAGTCTCTGGTGGAGGGTTGTCTACGTCGTTTGGTCTATGGTGGAGAGTTGTTTATGTCATTTGATCTACAGTGGAGAGTTGTCTACATCATTTGATCAATGGTGAAGAGTTGTCTACATCATTTGGTCTATGGTGTAGAGTTGTCTACGTCATTTGATCTACATTGGAGAGTGTCTACATCATTTGGTCTATGGTGGAGAGTTGTCTACATCAATTGGTCTCTGGTGGAGGGTTGTCTACATCATTTGATCTATGGTGGAGAGTTGTCTACAACATTTTGTCTATGGTGGAGAGTTGTTTTCGTCATTTGGTCTTAGTCTATGGTGGAGAGTTGTCTACATCATTTGGTCTATGGTGGAGAGTTGTCTACATCATTTGGTCTCTTGTGGAGGGTTGTCTACATCATTTGGTCTATTATGGAGAGTTGTATACATCATTTGGTCTATGGTTGAGAGTTGTCTACAACATTTTGTCAATGGTGGAGAGTTGTTTTCGTCATTTGGTCTTAGTCTACGGTGGAGAGTTGTCTACATCATTTGGTCTATTATGGAGAGTTGTCTATGTCATTTGGTCTATGGTGGAGAGTTGTCTACTTTATTTGATCTATTGTGGAGAGTTGCCTACATCATTTGGTCTATGGTGGAGAGTTTTTTATGTCATTTGGTCTATGGCGGAGAGTTGTCTACGTTATTTGATCTATTGTGGAGAGTTGTCTCATTGGCAATCATACCATATCTTCTTATTTTTATACCAAGGACTTTTAGCATTAGTTAGATGATTGGTTTCTTATTGTTTACTTAACATCACGTGGCAAATATTTCATGTATATTCCAACTGATCATTTATACAATATCTCATATTTTCACCAGTGTTTTTTCAGTACACCTGTTTATATTTTTTGTGTTTCTTTTTACGAAGACCTATGTATGATAAATTGTACACTGGGAGCTTAAATGCAATCTTATTTTCACAAATTGAAATAAAGCAAACTGTTTGTTCCCCCAGTCAATATTTTAGGTTTACAATTTTTGAGTCATGAACTTTTTTATTTCACATAACTGTATATTTTTGCTAACAAACACTTCAACAAAAACATTAGAAGTAATAGTAAGACTGTCATGAAAAGTTAAGGAGTTTTATGTAAATAATTAGACAGATTTAAAAATTTCACTTTAATATTAAATCCCTATTTTTGTTCTTGCTTGTTCATGTTGATTGTCTGATGCTAGCAAATGTTTACGTACAATTCCTTTATCACCCACTTCAGATCTACCGGTTATACATGATTTCCATCTTATATATTCTCATACCTTCTTTGATGGTGGCCAGTAAGTAATGGCCTCTCCTGTGATTGCAAGCTGTGCATTGTCCTGAAGATGATCTATTACCAATTGCTGCAAAAAAAACATCGCTAAATAACTTGGATAGTTTCAAAGCTTCAAATACTCAAACAAGAAAATATTCAAAATTAGTTCTGCTAATAAACATTTAAAATGTTTTCCCTTTGTCTTTGTTTGTACAAAATAAAAAATATCAAGATGACAAATTTTTATTAAGGGTACCAGACTACCTTTATTACAAAAACACAATTTCTTCTCTGAATAATCTTTCACATTATCTCCCTTTTTAATAATATAATTTCTATCAAAGACCAGATCTGTCAACAGTTAAATTAATGCTTCAAAAGTTAGTAATGAAAATATAACATTATTGAGACAGCAACCTGACAATAAATGGGGAATGAATCCATGGGAAAAGGATGATGCCCCCACTTACATATAACGTTATAAAGGGACATAACTCAAGAACTGTAAAAGTGACACTACCCAAATTTGTACTTGATATGAGTTTTGTGTTAATAAGCATTGTTTATAAGTTTCATAACATTTAGTTGAGGTAAACTGAAGTTAGAGAATGGAAAAGAAAAATTCAGCTTTTTTCAAAGGGGCATAACTCTAGAACGGTAAAAGTGACAGCACCAAAATTCGAACTTGATCTGTGTTTCGTGGTAATTAGCATTGTGCAAAAGTTTCATAATATTTGGTTGAGGCAAACTAAAGTTAGAGAACAGAAATGAATATTTCAGCAATTTTTCCATTTGTACAGGGGCATAACTCTAAAACAGTAAAAGTGACGCCACCAAATTCAAACTTGATCTGTGTTTTGTGGTAATAAGTATTGTGTATAAGTTTCATAACATTTGGTTGAGGCAAACTAAAGTAAGAGAACGGAAACAAACAATTCAGCAATTTTTCCATTTGTAAAGGGGCATAACTCTAGAACGGTAAAAGTAATGCCACCAAAATTCAAACTTGATCTGTGTTTTGTGGTAATAAGCATTGTGTATAAGTTTCATAACATTTGGCTGAAGCAAACTAAAGTTAGAGAACGGAAACTAATTTTGGGACGTACGTACGGACAAGGGTAAAACTTAATGCCCCCTCTGCTACAGCAGGGGCATAACTAATAAAATCACAAAGGAAATTTGTGTGTATAGTCTATTTAATTCAATATTATTTATATTATATATTGTTCTTATTGAAATTAACACATAACAAGTCAGTCATCTTTTAATCAAGTTTTGAACAAGTGGATTTTCTGGAATTGATGTAACTAACAGTCAAACCTGTATAAAAAGGTCACCATCGGACCCAGAGAAAACTGATGTTATAAGAGAAGTGAACTTTGAATTGAGGTTCATAATGCAAATATTTTACTACATTAGGACAAGAAGAAAGTGACATGACAAAACAGGGCTTCATGTAAAAGAAGTGACCTTTATTGCAGGTTTGACTGTATCTAGATTTTCAGTTACTTACTTTTGCATCTCTGAGTACACCCTCAGGATCAATCAGATCTTTTGGGATACCTTTCTTAGATGAAGGCAAGTCTTCCAACCATTCAATCATTTTTTTCAATCCTTTAATCTCCCACTTCGTTAAATGAACATTCTTACGTTCTCGTTTCGGTCGTCTGATTTCAATGGATCCTGACGAACTGTTTGAATCCTCATTCATTTTCAATTTGCTTGCTTTGGAAGTGATTTCTTTTGATACATTTGAAAAATCAATATCACCATGGTGACCAGCAATATCATCTGGTCTTTCATATATTTCAGTGTCTGCAGAACTACAACTATCCGATGTGGATTTTCGTGGTGATTGTTTCAACTTGGTAGCTGATTTTTCGTCATCAGCAGAAGGAGATTTTTTCACAGTTTGGTGGTCTATTCTAGTGAGTTCTATTTTGATACTTTTTGAAATATTTGAAGTTCCAATTTCTGGAGAATTTTTTGATTCCATTTGTCCATTTTCTTGTGAACATCGTGATGAAGGTCGAGAATCATCCTGACAATCTGGTTTCTCATCCTCCTGATTCTCAGATGGAAGCTCAATGCACTGTTTCCCTGTCAGACAGCACAAATATTGAGCCAAAACATACCATGCTATTTCTGCATAAAATGGATACCGAAATTTATGAGGCACCTGCAAGTTAAATCAGTCTTATAATAGAATCACAGCCAAAATTGTAAAAATGCTATGTACAAATGTATCAATTTGATTTGTTACAACATATTCGTGAGGTTTTTTTTATTGTCATTTTGAATCACATCAGTATATACAAGTGATTGTGATTTAAGATTAATATCAAGGTATTATATTTCTCATATGTAAATAGCAAAGAAATCAATACACATATTTTAAATGCAACAAATACCCACAAATTTTCCATCTACCATTCTAACCTGAAATATTTAATAAATAACTAGAGGTTCCAAGGGGCCTGAATTACTCACTTTGATTTTATTTTTACCAAAATAGCCAAAAAAATAAGCTTTTCATCAGAACCTTAGTAATAACATATGAAAAATATCTGGGCTCTCTGTCATAAAACTTTACTCGGTACTCTTGAGAACAAAAACTGTGCTCGAAACACCAAATCCAACATTTTAATGGTTGATTTCTGAGATAATGGTACTCAAAAGATTTATGACTGTAAGCCCTGGTTATTGTTGTTTCAATTGGTTTAGTGTAAATAGAGAAGATCTTTGAAAATCTGACTAATGCACCCCTTTTTTTGGCCAATAAAAGCCATACTGGAACAAAGTCATAACATTTGGTAAGTATCTTCTAAGGAACATGGTTTGTTTATCTTCTCTTGAAAAAAGAAAACAAACTGCAATATCCTAATAAGAATCAATGTAAAATTTGACCCCAGTTTTGGCCATTTTGTTTTTCATATAAGGTAAAAAAAAGAATTAAAAAGGAATTTACTTTAAAGCAATTATTGCAGGATTATCTGAAATTTTTACTGTTTAGCTAATTAAAGGATTTTCTCGCTGTGTTGAAGACCCATTGGTGGCCTTCGGCTGTTTTCTGCACTTTGGTCGGGTTGTTGTCTCTTTGACACATTCCCCATTTCCATTCTCAATTTTATCTTATATGAAACATAAGATTATGTACAATAGTTGATCAGCACTGACTACTGAACTCATCTTGCTGATATAAACTTTTGATATCAATTTCATAAAACATGTGATACTATAAATTCCCCTTGTAAAAAAATGTGATTCTATAAATTCCCCTTGTATAAAAATGACAAGTATAATAGTCTACTTACATGTGTTCTGTCCTCAATATCAGACACGGTTAACTGTGTCTCCATGTTGTAATTGTGCAGAAAATTACCTCCAAACACTAAAGAGTCTTCAGGAGTGTATACTCCATGAATCCAACCTAAAAACACAGAACGTTCAAATTATTCATACCGTAATCAAAATGACATTTAAATATTTATATTTTTTTTAATAAATGAATCAAATGTTCCTTATGAAGTTTTGAGAAATAAGGGAAAAATAAATCAATACCTGTTTAAAGCTTTTAAAAATTTTACAAGATGAAGTATGTTTCTGAAGTTCTTTTAATATTCGCTAAGTTTCCAACATCTTGAGGTGCCTAAACAGTTGAATGGTCTAGCTAGCGCATCTACAGTGACATTTGCCTGTCAACACTCATGGCACAGTGCGTTTTGCTCCAATCTTACTTTCAATGATTGTCAGATTTCTTCCCAAAGATAGGTAGCTATCTCTGATTATGGACCGTCTTCTTGAACAACATAAACTGGTCTTTACAGTTATTTTTTTTTTAACTGTGACAGAAATCCTTTGCAAACTCCCTTTCTGGGAGAAATATCTTTAAACAAATGATTGGAACTCTATGTTTCCAACAGAAATTAATATCATTTTTCTATCACTATTCTACTGTCTTACTTGCAATAAATTGGCTACCACTTAAAACCATAAACTGAAATACGCATATAGTTTCAGTTTCCAAGGTAACTACTTACCTGATGGTATGATGAAAGTGTACCCAGCATGCAGTGTAATTCTCTCACATCCCTCAACCTTGTCTGCCAAGAAAATGTCACCTTGTTTCCCTGACAACACCCAGGTTAAGTAGATTTCCATGTTTTTTGGTGTTGGTGGAATTAACCAAAATACCTGAAAACAGAAACATCTTAAATCCACTTTGTATGTGCTGTTTGTTTTTCAATTACTATGTGTACATGAAGTGGTGTTTTCAACACTCTGTATTTCCATTTCTTTTATTCCCTTTTTTGTACATGTGTGTCGTATATTCACAGACCAAACTTGTGTGAAAAATATTTAAATATAAATCAAAGCACTTGTGATTGCTTTCATTTGGCATTCTGAACTGAAATGTATTATTAAAGCAATGGAATAAATTTAGACAAAAGTTTTCAACTAGAGTTATTTTCCTTTGTCCATAACTATAATTAGAACAGATAGATTCATTCACCATATACTGTATATGCAACTTTAATATAAGATTTTTAATAAAAATAGTTTTTTTTTGTCAAGTAATGTTATTCAAAATAACATCATTTTGTATCTTCATTTCACAGCACTATGTTAGTTAAGGTAAAGATGAGGTCTGGAATAAAGGTAAATATAGCTGTTAAGCCAGTGACAATAGGGTTTTGTGTGCATAATTTACTCGAAATAATTTTAGAATAACTAATCAGAGAGTTCAAGTAAGGATAAATATTAAACTGGTGACCAAACAACACATTAATTCAGGAATGCACACAAGTTAATTATCAGTCGGCGGCGTCCACAAATATTCACTCTGTGGTTAAAGTTTTTCAAATTTTAATAACTTTCTTAAACTATCCTGCATTTCAACCAAACTTGGACAGAAGCTTGTATATGATCATAAAATAGTATCCAGAACTTAATTTTGTAAAAAAAAACATTCTGTTTATCGGTATTTTACTCATAAATGGACTTAGTTTTTCTGCCAGTTAACATTACATTTACTCTGTGGTTAAAAGTTTTTCAAATTTTAATAACTTTCTTAAACTATCCTAGATTTGTACCAAACTTGGACAGAAGCTTGTTACAACCATAAGATAGTATCCAGAAGAAGATTTTGTGAAAAAAAAAATCCTGTTTATCTGTATTTTACTCATATATGGACTTAGTTTTTCTGCCAGTTAACATAACATTCACTCTGTGGTTAAAGTTTTTTAAATTTTAATTACTTTCTTAAACTATCCTGGATTTGTACCACACTTGGACAGAAGCTTGTTTGTGATCATAAGATAGTATTCAAAAGTTTTGTAAAAATTTATTTCCTGTTTTTCTGTATATTACTTATAAATGGACATAGTTTTATTCCAGTTAACATTACGTACAGTCTGCAGTTTTTCAAAAGCATTTATTAGATTCATAAACCTTCTTGGATTTTTACCAAAATTGAACAGAACTTCTTACAATCAAAAGATAGTATCTAGAGGAAAATTTTTAATAATTTTTTCCCCATTTTTGTTGAGCCTGTGACTAACAGCAAAAGTAGGCGAGACACTGGGTTCCGCGGAACCCTTACGAATTTTTCTATATTTGAATTCTTGGATTAGTTATTCTTTTTATTACACTGACCATGGCTTTTTAAAAATGAAAATAGCAAAGATTTGAAAATTAAAAAATTACAACTATTATGGTATTTAAATAAAACATACAACTTGCACTTACTTTTTTCCCGTGTAGTATATGATACCAGACAGAGGTACCACCAAAGTCTACATGGAAATCTGTATAACATCCCTTCACACTCATCAGACAATACCTAAAATCATCACAAAAATGTTAATATACATAGAATGATGGCATTTTTGTTTTTGATACTGACTTTACCAGGAAGAATTTCAAGGGAGCCCGCTAGGGTGAGCTGATAAGGTCAATATCAAAAAATAAAATGCCATAATTTCTCTTACCTGTATGTTTTTTTTTGGTTGAGAATATGAAGAAAAATGAAATAGTTTGTAAAAACGACTTTTACACCTACAAAACATTGGGGTAGTTGTTCGGTTGTATGAATGAAGTCACATGCATTTCATTGATGAAATGACGTGGATGGACTTGAGGACGTGATGTTTCTGCACTGATGCATGACTTCATTGCTTAATATTTTCCAGTATCAAGTCGTGCCAATGATTTCAAATATTAGGCAGTAAGATCAAAGGGAAAATGTACAAACTGACAATAAACAATTGTACTGTATAAATCAGGTCGTTAGTTTTCTCGTTTGAATGGTTTCACATTTTGTCATGTCGAGGCTTTTTATAGTTGACTTACTTGACTATATGGTATGGATTTTTCTCATTGTTAAAGGCCGTACAGTTGCCTATAATTGCTTTTATTATAGTCATTTGAACTCAGGTGGATAGTTGTCTCATTGGCAACCATACCACATCTCCTTATTTTTATACTTGATGAATGAATTTTTGAATATATATATATATCACTCTTATGCTGTGCTGTTTGTATGGTATTAACAGAAGCATATGTGTGGTATTCACCTACCTACCTACCTAGTTCTTTTTATGCCTGGAGGCACATAGGGCAAGGACTAGATATTTTCACCACTGAGACAGTAACAACAAAAATTTTTGCAAAAAGTCAATCTTTGATATGAACTATCTAAATAGGCAAAGAAAAATGTACCTTTATGACTTACTTTTCGAGATATTTAAGTTTGAAATTTGCATGTTTCATGTAAGAACACAAAATTTCATTTTTCAATACTTTTTCATAAACTAATTTTCAAAAGGAAAGAGATATTTTCACCCATTTTTTTTTTAAATGTTCCTTTATTTATAGGCCTTTAAGGAAGTCCCTAAAGTGAATGCTGAATATGATTACTTTTTTGTGAAATCATACAATTATTAGCAATAGAAAGCCATAGACAATTTTCTTCCCTGTACAAATGCATATAGTAAACTTATACAGTGGATTTTTTTCTGGCAATTTCTGTGTAACATTCTTTAAGTAGTATATAGTAGATTGCAATAAAAAAGTTGGTCCACGTGTTAATTTTTTAGCTAGAAATAGAAAACCTAGTTTTTTTAAATGCTCGAAATCCCACTTCCCTTTTTGGTGCTAAATTACATTGTTATGCATTCTTAATGTAACATCGTAGTGCACCTATTCCAGCCATACATCAAAACACTATATAAAATTAATGTCATATACTAAATTCTTGATAGTAGAAATGTTGTCTCCATTTGCCTCAAATTTTAACCTACTTTTGAACTTTTGGGTATTTCATCTTGTCAATAATGTTTGTGGATTCTGTCTGACAGTCTTTGTAGTGTCTTGGCCATACTGTATCCACCCAATCCACTTGTCTGACCTACAAAGAAAGAATAAACAACTTTAGTTGATCCCTATATCAAACAATATGTCGTCATCTGACTTAGAAGCAAGTCCTTTGTCAACGACCATAATTTATTACAGATTTTTTTAATAACTTTTCAGCTGACAGATTCAGTAATTTTTACAAAATGAAGGTTCTGAATCCGACAGGAACTGGCATTCTGATATCTGATCGATATATCTGTATGCAGTTTTTCCTGAAATGGCAATAATTAATCTCACATTTTTGTCCATTTTTCAAAAATTGCAATAATAAATGCACGCAATAATTTCTGAATTACAGTAACATGTTTTATAGGCAATTCTTTCTAAATTCCTTTAGTTATATATCACCCCATCTATCTATTCATTGTTCCTTCTGCAAACATTCTTAATAGGTTAAAAGTGCACACACTGAAATGTCATGCCTGCTGTACTAACCATTGATTTTATGTTGAAAGTCTTAAAGATAAACGTTTTACTACAAGTGTCTCATAAACTTAACATTCTTAAAGATCAGTGACAATGATGTCAAGGTCAGATAAATATTGTCAGACAGACATGTACACCTCACAATCTTTCCATTCACCAAATATAGTTGAACTATTGCTTATAGTACTGTAAATTCAGAAATAAATTCGAGGTTTTTATTATTACGAATAATGCAACTGGTTGAGGATCGCAATAATAAAAACTCACATTCTGATATCTGGTACTTATGTCTTTATACAGATTTTCTTATAATTGCAATAATTAATCTCACATTTTTGTCCATTCTTCAAAAATGGCAATAATAAATGCACGCAATAATTTCTGAAGTTACAGTAGTTGAAAAACAAACCAAAACACAAAAACTTAACATTGACCAATGAACCATGAAAATGAGATCAAGGTCAGATGAAACATGCGAGACTGACATGAACACCTTACTATCATTCCATACACCACATATAGTTGCCCCATTGCTTATAGTATCTGAGAAATGGACCTAATCACATAACTTTAACCTTGATTGCTGATCCATAGAAAGAGGTCGCGGTAAGGTGAACCCTGTCTGACAGACATGTAGACTTTGTAAGGAGCCCATATACAAATATAGTATTCTTATTACTCATAATAAGTGAGAAATACACATGAAAAAAAAAAGCTATAATTTTTTTTCAAGCAGTCGCTGATCCATGAAAATAAGGTCAAGGACAATGGACACATAAAAGACAAGTTTTTGTAACATAAGGAATCTGCATACAAGGTATGAAGCATCCGTCTTTCACATTCTGAAATATAAAACTTTATACAAATAGTTTATGCTGGCTCCATATAGTAATTCCTATGTCTAACATACACTGACAAAAGTCACAGACGAGACAAAAATTATCTTGTTTTACAGTAGACAAGTATTATTATTTTACTAGTGAGGCTCATTGAAATATTTATTGTGAGGAAGATTTCTAAACTGAAACAATTGTTGTAGCACAGAAAATATTGTCTCAACATATAGACAAGGTTAAAATCAGATCATCATCACACTATCATACAGCAGCAAATCTTTAGATGAGAAACAAAATACATCACGATTCTTTCAAAAGAATATTTCTGTATTTAGAATCAATTAACATATACTAATAGAAAATTTAAATCCAACTAATTTCATTACCACAACAATTTATCTTTAACTTTTATGTGGGTCAGTTATTTTCCATGTCATTTAAATATTTACTGATTAGTTGAATCAGGTATAGACATGTCCTAAATAACTTCCTGGTTGGTTGACATTGAAGGAACAGTGAAAAGGAACTAAACTTTTGTCATAACAACATCAAGAGGTATTTGGTTAAAATATTATTTATTGTACTTCACAAAAAAATATGTGTTATTATTCAAACTTATTATCAACTATGGAATCTGTCATTTTCACCAATGATTGAAAATTATTAATTCAAATTATTTTTTTTTTAATGTAATCAACTAGAAGGACAGCTAGTGGCCAATATAACAGGGTGAATGAATGATAAACAAATATAATAGACAGCACTAAACGACAACCATTGAAACATTCTATATGTGTCTGTCCAAAGTCAGGAGTCTGTAATTCAGTGGTTGTAGTTTGTTGTATATCATATTTGTTTTTCGTTCATTGTTTTGTACATAAACCAGGCTGTTAGTTTTCTCAATTGAATTTTACTCATTTGTCATTTCAGGACCTTTTATAGCTGACTATATGTAGTATGTGTTTTGCTCATTGTTGAAGGTCATTATATATTGTGACCTATAATTGTTAACTTCTATGTCATTTGGTCTCTGGTGGAGAGTTGTTTCACTGGCAATCATACCACATCTATTTATTTTTATATGAGACAAAATTTGTTTAGGATTGGTTTGTACCTCTTCTTAGGTTTGACTTATGATTGTCCCTTTGGTTTTTTGTCTCTTGTCTATGCATTAAAGAGATCATTGATATTTCTGAATTTTTTTTTATTGTAGACTAGTTTAACTCCTCATAGTGTCAGCTTGTAGGTAGTCATCTTCAGTTACATAATTTTTTATTCATCCTTAAAGAGGTTGTTGATGGAAGATCTTTGGTCTCTTGTAATTAAAATTTGTCTACACTTTAGACATGTTCAAGTTTGGAAGTTAGTCTATTATAATACTTGTCTATTATTAAAATTTTAAAGACAATTTGTTGACCTCTAGAATTTTCTGTGTTTTATGTTGTTTAGTTCCAGTCTAAATATATTAAAGCCAATATTCACCATTAACTATTTGGACCTTGACATTTATCTTGGAAATTTTCAGGTCATGGCATCCAGTAAACCTATTCCATGTGGTCCTTGTAAAGAAGGAAAAGTAAACACTAAAGCTGACATCTGGTGTTACAACTGTGATGAAGGATTATGTTCAATATGTTCTGGTCATCACAAAAGATCTAAGTTATCACGTGATCATAAGACCATTGATATTAAAAGTTATCACCCATCTGTCCGAGCTATTAAAACAGAATGTGACAAGCATGGTCAACAACTTAACTTGTACTGTCCCAGTCATTTAATGCCTTGCTGTGATGAATGTATTTCCAATACTCATTTAAAATGTACTGGAATAAAAAGTTTAGCAAGTGTTGTGGAGAAAACCAAGATTGAAAAATCTAAAGAATCTGTAGAGAAAGATATCAACTCCATCTTACATCTCTTGGATAAAATGGTAAATAACAAATCACAAAACATTAAAAGAGGAGAACAAGAATATGAAAGCATAAAAGAATTAATTGTGAAAATTCGCAAGAAAATAGATAAACATTTAACCCACCTAGAGAAGAAGATATGCAATGAGGCAGATACCATCTTGAATCAGGAAAAATCAAAAGCAACAGATTTAATAGCTGAGATTGAAGGAAAACAGAAAAACTTAAAGGAAATGCAGGACCACTTGCATACAGTCATACCACACACTTCAAAACTCCAATCATTTCTAGGTGTACATCAAATTGAACAACAAGTACATCAATGTCAACGATATGTTGATGATCTGGAAAATGATGACAGGGCAAAAGAATTCAACATCAAAATGGAGCAAAACAATGAAGTAGAAAAGATAATAAAAAAGTTAGAATCCTTAGGAGAATTAACCGTTGTTAAAACAGATATGGATTTGAATAAAGAAACAAGTGTGAGGAGGGAAGCACAAGTAGAATCACAAGAACAATCCAACATAAACAACATGACCATGAACATTGAGACAAAGATAGAAATCAACATGAAGAAGGCGAGTGACATAATTTGTCTGATGGATGGAAGAGTTATAGTAGTGGAAGTGGAATCAAGTGGAAAAGTTAACCTACTTACTCCTGATGGCAAACTTGAGAAACAGTTACCTATACCTGGTGAAGCCTTCAGTGTCACACAGATCAATCAGGACACTATAGCCATAACTTATCCCTGGGAGACAGCCATTAAGATCTTCAATATGAAGATTGAAAGAGTAACCAAAATTATCAAATTAGACAAATTATGCTGGGGATTATCATTATCAGATAATTCTCTTGTTGTAGGTTTGTATATTGATGAAATCCGTATTATAGACTTAGTAGGAAATACACTGACGTCAATACAAGTTGAGAGTGAATCTTACCTGTATTACCTTGTTTACTGTAATGACAGAGTAATCTATAGTGACATAGTAGGTAAAGCAGTATACTGTGTGGATGAATCAGGTAAACAGATCTGGCAATACAAACAGGATTTATCAGGACCAAGAGGACTTTGTACAGATACTTATGGTAACATTATTGTAGCAGACCGTGACTCTCATAGAATAATAGTAATATCAAAAGATGGAAAGGATAATAAAGTACTGCTAAATGATGGACTGGAGTGTCCAAAATGTATTTGTTTGAATCAGTATGATTCTTCAGGTTTTATTTGTGATGGCAATGGCAAATACTTGAGAAAATTCAATTTATCTTCTGGATGAAATATACACTGAGGAATCACCTGACTTTGATACATATACTACAACTAACAACTTGTTATTTATATTCATTCAATATCATACAGAATCAGTAAACTAAGTTGAGTCTGTCATCAGTTATTTTGGATCATATCCTGTGTTAGATCTCTCCATAATTTTGAACATCTATTCTAGTAAAAAAATGAGGTCCAATTTGTTAGCCGGTATGATGTAAAAACAGTGAATCAAAGAATTCAACGTTAAATATAATAATTCAATTTTGGATGTAACGCGTCTTCTGATTGGCTGAAAGTTTTTTGTTTATCAGCTCATTTTGTCATGTGACCATGACGTCATCAACAGTTTTTCATGATTTACATGAAATTTAGAATTAAATTATAAGGAATGACTGTGCACCACATTTTTGATTATACTTCTTCATAGACAGAAAAAATATAACAGTCATTCCTTAAATAATATAGGACAATGGCGTTGATTAAAAATTACACCACTCCCGACACTTTTGTTTTCCACAGTTAACCCCAGGTTCAATTTTCCAAATGGAAAATTGGCCCCGGGTTCAAATTTCAGGGGGTTCAATTTTCAATATGACACTGGGTCAAATCTGATACATATACCGATAGTATAAGTCACATGTAGTTTCTGGTAGTAGTTATGTCACCGGATATATTTATCCATTTTGTTCATTATAAAGCATTTCATATTATTTGTGTTTTCAGTGTTGTATGTTTCCCATTCATATCATATTCATATTTCATATTCTTGATTCTTGACGATTGACGAAAATAGTTTTGCGCTGCGTATTTTGAAATAAACTATAGCTTTGTACGCTATGTTTTGCTTTGCGTACCGAATATTTAAATTAGTACAATAGAAAGGTAAAGCGATTCTTTATTATTATTTAAATGATATATATATTTATATTCAAATAGCATGAGTTATGCATGAGCTCAAAGCGCGGCAATACTAACCATATATATATTAATACAATTTCACTTTTCGAGTTAGTCACTGGTCATTATTACAACCGGGGAGGCGGCAGATTAAAGTCACCGCTGCAGGTACTTGTAAATTTATTTATTCTTTTAGCTATGTTTAAAATGTTTCAATTAAAGTAAAGTTACTTTAGTATTTCATATATAGAATTCAGTATGGCTTGAAAGCCGCATTTTGGTATGTAAGCTAAAGTCAGAATAAAGCTCCGTTGCATGCAAATATTTCAGTCATATATATTGTTCATATTTATTGGAACATAATTGTAAACTTGGTTTACAATTTGTTTACTTGCAGATTATATAATAAAGTATATATAAATTGGACGACTCATTTAATGCAGAATTGGCCCACACGCATTACCACGACAAGTTTATGGGTTTATGGTGACTTATTCCTCATCCCAAGTCGATGTATTATTGGTGTCCCATTTTTCCTGCGACAGTAAGAAAACCAGGATGGGTTCAAACAGAAAGAGTTTGATAGCAGAGAAATCAGTGCAATTTATAATCAGCATGACTATCAGCATGACCAGCAGATGACAATACGAATACTAAAAATCCAGGCTAAAAATGATGTCCTGGGTGTGTTCTAATTTAAATTTAAATTTGAAAGCAATTTATTAACAGTAGAAAATTTAACTTCATCAACAGATATATAAACCCTCATGTACTTTTGGTCCTAGACGTTTAAACAAGTTTGCATATACTGAAATGTCTTATAAAAATAAGGAGATGTGGTATGATTGCCAACTATCCACCAAGTTGCCTACTTGTTCTTGAATCATAATCAAATAATAATGAGGGGTGAAGGTCAAATGAACCCTGCCATACAGACATGTTCACCTTACAAACATTCCATTCAACAAAAATAGTTGACCTATTGCTTAATGTATCTGATAAACTGACAAAACCATGAAAATTAGCAATGACCAATGAACCATGAAAATGAGGTCAAGGTCATAAGTACTCTGCCAGACAGACATGTTGACCTTTTAATAATTTGATACACCAAATATAGTTGACCAATTGCTTATTGTACCTGAAAACTGAAAAATGAAAAAATGAAAAAAATTAACATTGACCAATGAACTATGAAAATGTGGTCAAAGTCATATGAACCCTGCTAGACAGACATATACACCTCACAATGGTTGTATACACAAGATATGGTTGAACTACTACTTATAGTATCTGATTAACTGACAAAACCATGAAAACTGAAAATTGACCAATGATCCATGAAAATGAGGTCAATGTCAGATGAACCCTGCCTGACAGACAAGTAGACCTTATAATAATTCCATACACCAAATATAGTTGAACAATTGCATAATGTACCTGAAAACTGAAAAAAAAAACATGAAAAAAGTAACATTGACCAATGAACCATGAATATGAGGTCAAGGTCATATGAAACCTGCCACAGACATGTACACCTTACAATTATTCCATTGCTTATTGTACACCAGAATAAAATGCTCTGCAGGGCGCAGCTTGATACGACCGCAGAGGTCGAACCCTGAACAGTTTGGGCAAGTATGGACACAACATTCAAGCTTGATACAACTTTGCATTTGGATTGTGATTAAATATTTGACACAGCATAGGTTTCTGACACAGAATAAATGTGGTCTAAGAACTTAAAAATTTTAAATTGGACATTCACCTATTATGGTCCAATATCCAAAATCTAAATATATGGTTAGATTCAGCAAATCAAAGAACCCCAAGAATTCAATTTTTGATGAAATCAAACAAAGTTTAATTTTGGACCCTTTTGACCTCAATGTGGACAAAGTTGACAATGGGGCCCAAAAATCAAAAAACTAAATACATGGTTAGATTCAGCATATCAAAGAACCCCATATATTCAATTGTTGTTGAAATCAAACAAAGTTTAATTTTGGACCCAGATTTGGACCAACTTGAAAACTGGGCTCATAATCAAAAATCTAAATACATGTTTAGATTCAGCATATCAAAGAACCCTAAGAATTCAATTTTTGTTAAAATCAAACTAAGTTTAATTTTGGACCCTTTGGACCTTAATGTAGACCAATTTGAAAACGGAACCAAAAATTAAGAATCTAAATACATGGTTAGATTCGGCATATCAAAGAACCCCAATAATTCAATTTTTGATGAAATCAAACAAAGTTTAATTTTGAACCCTTTGGACCTCAATGTGGACCAATTTAAAAACGGGGCCCAAAATCCAAAAACTGAATACACGGTATGATTCAGCATATTAAAAAACCCCAAGAATTCAAGAATAAAACCCCATTGAAATTGGTCAAGAAATAAGCAATTTATACGAAGTATCTTCTCTTGCACAATACTGTGCAATTAAATATTTCTTGCTATTGCGCAATACTGTACAATTGACAATTTCTTGCTATTGCGCAATATTGTGCTATTGGATATTTCTTGCTATTGCGCAATACTGTGCAATTGAAGATTTCTTGCTATTGCGCAATACTGTGCAATTGAAGATTTCTTGCTATTGTGCAATACTGTGCAATTGAAAATTTCTTGCTATTGCACAATACTTATTATATAATAATTTACACATCCTGTTTGGTGTGTATCTCCTACCATATCATTATTATTTGCTTTTAAATATAAATCAGAAATAACCAACTTAAAATGGGTTTTTTAAAAGAAAAAAAAAAGGAAAAAAAGAAAAAAAAGGAAAAAAAGAAAAAAAAAGAAAAAAAAAAAAATCCCCCCCCCAAATTTTTTGAACCCCCTTATGATTCATCACCCCCAAACTCAATCCCAGCCTTCCCTTTGTGGTATGGTACCTTGCAGTACAATTTCAGAGAGATCCATACACTTGAACACAAGTTATTGTCTGGAAACTAGAAAAATGTGTTTTTTGGCCCCTTTTTGGCCCCAAATTCCTAAACGTTTAGGGCAATTACCCCCAAACTCAAACCCAGCTTTCCCTTTGTGATATGGAACCTTGTAGTGAAATTTCAGAAAGATCCATACACTTATACACAAGTTATTGTCCTGAAACGAGAAAAATGCTTGTTTTTTGCCCCTTTTTGGCCCCTAATTCCTTAAATTTTGAGGCAATTACCCCCATCATCAATCCCAGCCTTCCCTTTGTGGTAAGGTACCTTGCAGTACAATTTCAGAGAGATCCATACACTTGAACACAAGTTATTGTCTGAAAACTAGAAAAATGCTTATTTTTGGCCCCTTTTTGACCCCCAATTCCTAAACGTTTCGGCAATTACCCCCAAACTCAATTCCAGCTTTCCCTTTGTGATATGGAACCTTGTAGTAAAATTTCAGAAAGATCCATACACTTACACACAAGTTATTGTCATGAAACTAGAAAAATGCTTGTTTTTTGCCCCTTTTTTGGCCCCTAATTCCTAAAATTTTGAGGCAATTACCCCCAAAATCAATCCCAGCATTCCTTTTGTGATATGGAACCTTGTGGTACAATGTCAGAGAGATCCATACACTAACACACAAGTTATGTCTGGAAGTTACAAAAATGCTTATTTTTGGCCCCTTTTTGGCCCTAATTCCTTTACTGTTGGTACCATAACCCCCAAAATCAATCCCAACCTTCCTTTTGTGGTATTGAACCTTGTGGTAAAATTTCATAGAGATCCATTCACTTAAACTAAAGTTAGAGTGCGAAAACCAATGTGTCTTCGGACGACGCAGGACGATGGCGACGACGACGACGCCAACACCATACCAATATACGACCACAAAAATTTTTTGGCGGTCGTATAAAAAGACCAACAAAAACTAAACATTGTTCAATGAACCATGAAATAAAGGTTAAGGTCAGATGAAACAGGTGTGTCGGACATGTACACATTACAATCCCTCTATACACAAAATATATTTGACCTATTGCCTATAGTATCTGAGATACAGACTTGACCAACAAACTTTAAACTTGATCACTTATCTATGAAATGAGGATGAGGTCAGGTGAACCCTGTCTGACAGACGTGTAGATGTTGCAAGGAAGCCATATACCAAATATATTACTCATAATAAGTGAGAAATTCACATAAAAAAAAATATGATTTTTTTTCAAGCAGTTACTGAACCATGAAAATGCGGTCAAGGACAATGGACATATGACAGACAGGAACTTATTAACATAAGGTATCTGCATACGAGGCATGAAGCATCTATGTCCTCTACCATCTGAAATATAAAGCTTTATACAAATAGTTTACGCCATCACAGTCACTGCAGGATTGTTATCACTATGTCTTGCAGTCGCAGGTGAGACAAAAAAGATTCAGTAACTTTTATATAGACTTTAATATACCTGACTTTTAACTTACCAAAGCTGGTGATTCCACATAGTTCTCTAACTTGGTGTGACTAAATTCTAAACTGATGACATTCAGTAACCTTGACCTTTCTGTATTCTCATAATACTGGACCCAGTCTCTCATGGACATCTCAATTCCTTTCTGTGTATTAACATCCATTACATCAAGCATCCGGCGACTCCCTGCAAATATATAATATTCAGTAGTTAAAAAATGTGTAAACTTTCTATTTCTGTTATTTCTATACAGGTATACAAATTGATCATTACAGAGATATTGTGTAAAATCTCTTGACTGATGTAAGCCAATATTAGAATTCTTAAAGATTACTCCTGTTTACATGCACTTGCTCTATCTTTCCCGTAAATTATCTTTTTTAGATAAACATAAAGGTTATCTATGATTGCTCAGTGCATTGGCAGCTTCAATGATTGTTATTAAAGTTTTTGTTTTAAGTTATACAGGTAAAACATATACGTTGGAGTATTTTTACTTTTTCAAAGGAAGAATCTGGTGCCAGTTTAAAAGCTAAATTTCCTCCATCAGCTGTAGATAAATTTCAAATAATTTTTATTTTCATTTTACACAAAATATTAGTTTTACATGAAAATGAATGGGAAGCTGGTCATTAAAGTTGTCCATGACCAAATATTTTGTTTCAGTCATGAGGTAGATAAAATTTCAGCTAATACATGTACAAGGAAAAGTTAGTTTTGAAGACTTCAGGACCTCTAATTATAACATTGTAGAATTTTACTTGGGGTCGCAATTATACCAGATTCCAGATCCTGTTTCTTCAAGAATTTTTGAATTGTTGATTGATTGTTCCTATAAACAATTGTAATTCAAGTGAGAGGTTTAGATAGCTATAAAACCAGGTTTAACACACCATTTCATTTTCTTCGGAAAATGCCTGTACCAAGTAAGAATAAAATGCTCCGCTGGGGCGCAGCTTGATACGACCGCAGAGGTTGAACCCTGAACAGTTGGGGCAAGTATGGACACAACATTCAAGCTTGATACAGCACTGAATTTGGATTGTAATTAAATATTTGACACAGCATAGGTTTCTCACACAGAATGAAAGTAGTCTAAGAACTTAAAATTTTTTAATTTACCTATTCAAACCATATCATTATTATTTGCTTTTATATATAAATCAGAAATAACCAATTTAAAATGGAAAATTTTAAAGAAAAAAAAGGAAAAAAAAATCCCCCCCCCCAAATTTTTTGAAACCCCCTTATGATTCATCACCCCCAAACTCAATCCCAGCCTTCCCTTTGTGGTATGGTACCTTGCAGTACAATTTCAGAGAGATCCATACACTTGAACACAAATTATTGTCTGGAAACTAGAAAAATGCTTGGGTTTTTTGCACCTTTTTGGCCCCAAATTCCTAAAAGTTTAGGGCAATTACCCCCAAACTCAAACCAAGCTTTCCCTTTGTGATATGGAACCTTGCAGTACAATGTCATAAAAATCCATACACTTACACACAAGTTATTGTCCTGAAACTAGAAAAATGCTTGTTTTTTTGCCCCTTTATAGCCCCTAATTCCTAACATTTTGAGACAATTACCCCCAAAAACAATCCCAGCCTTCCCTTTGTGGTATGGTACCTTGCAGTACAATTTCAGAGAGATCCATACACTTGAACACAAGTTATTGTCTGGAAACTAGAAAAATGCTTATTTTTGGCCCCTTATTCCTAAACGTTTTGGGCAAGTACCCCCAAACTCAATTCCAGCTTTCCCTTTGTGATATGGAACCTTGTAGTACAATTTCATAAATATCCATACACTTACACACAAGTTATTGTCATGAAACTAGAAAAATGCTTGTTTTTTGCCCCCTAATTCCTAAAATTTGGAGGCAATTACCCCCAAAATCAATCCCAGCATTCAAACCCTCAATCAGCATCATTTAACAGTAATATCTAAAAATGGAAATTACATAATAAAGGTATTAAAATAGAAAATGACATCATAGTCATGGCTAAAAATAAACAAAATCCTTAATCAGCAACATTTTACAGTAATATCTAAAAATAAAATTCCTTTGTAACCATAAAAGCCCATTTAAATACATCATGACAGATATTAAAATAGAAAATGACATCATAGTCATGGCTAAACATAGCAAAAACCTTAATCAGCATCATTTAACAGTAATATCTAAAAATAAAAATTTCTTTGCAACCATAAAAGTAAAATAGAAAATGACATCATAATCATAGCTAAAAATAAACAAAAATTTTTTTTATTACCAAATTTTAAATGGAGTTTATTAAACTAAAACAATAAATTTGCAACCATAAAACCCCATTTAAACACATCATAAAAGTATTAAATAATTCAACTACATCATAAGGCTATAAAAATAGAAAATGACTTCATAGTCAAGGCTAAAGGTAAACAAAAAACCTTCATCAGCAAAATTTTATATTGGCAAATTTCCAATGAAGTTTATTATACTAAAATTGTTGGCAAATTTCCAATGCATTTATTAACAATAAAGTTATTGGCAAATTTCCAATTAACATAATTTAAAAGCAGTGTAAGTGAGATATTTAAATGAGTTTGAATTACCAACCTTACACTGCTTTTAAATAATGTTTTGTACTTATTTGTCTATTAACCTGGAAACCCTTGTTTTTTCACCTTTTTTTCCCTTATTATTTAAAGGTTTGAGCCATAGCCCTACCCCAAAGCCAATTCTTAAATTCCAATGTAACCTAAATTTACAATATACATAACTTCAATTTAAGTTTTTGATAAAATCAAACCACATCATTATTATTTGATTTTATATCTAAATCAGAAATAATTAACCAACTTTAAGTGGAAAATTTTCACACATCACGCCCCCCCCCCCCCAAACTCAATCCCAGCCTTCAGTTTGTGGTATGGTACCTTGCAGTACAATTTCACAGAGATCCAATTACTTAAACACAATTAATTGTTGGAAACTAAAAAAAAATGCTTATTTTTAACCCCTTTTTTAGCCCCTTATTCCTAAACATTTGAGCAATTATCCCCCAAACTCAATTCCAACTTTCTCTTTGTGATCAGAATTAACCAACTTAAAATGGAAAAATTTAAAGAAAAAAAAAAGGAAAAAAAATCCCCCCCCCCCAAAATTTTTTGACCCACTTCCCTTTGTGGTATGGTACCTTTAAGTACAATTTCAGAGAAATCCATACACTTGAACACAAGTTAATGTCTGGAAACTAAAAAAATGCTTATTTTTGCCCCCTTTTTTGGCCACTTATTAATAAATGTTTTGGGCAAACATTTTACAATAATATTTAAAACTGAAATTAATTTGTAACCTTAAAATTAAATAGAAAATGACATCATAGTCATAGCTAAAAATAAACAAACTATTGGTAAATTTCCAATGGAGTTTATTATATTAAAACAATAAATTTGCAACCATAAAAGCGCATTAAAATACAGCATAAAAGTATTAAAAAAAATTTAACTACATCATAAGGCTATTAAAATAGAAAATGACATCATAGTCAGACTAAAGGTAAACAAAAAACCTTCATCAGCAAAATTTTATATTGGCAAATTTCCAATGAAGTTTATTATACTAAAATAATTGGCAAATTTCCAATTTACATAATTCAAACATAGTGCAGGTGAGATATTTAAATGAGTTTGAATTACCAACCTTACACTGCTTTTAAATAATGTTCTTTACTCAATTATTTGTCTATTAAAATGGAAACCCTAGTTTTTTAACCTTTTTTCCCCTTATTCCTTAAACGAAAAAAAATAATTACCCCTTTTTTGACCCCCCCCCCCCCTATGATTCATCACCCCCCCTTCCCCCCAAACCAAGCTCAATAACAGCCTTGCCTTTGTGGTATGGTACCTTGTAATACAATTTTAGAGAGATCCATACACTTGAACACAAGTTATTGTCTAGAAACTAAAAAATGCTTATTTTTCACCCCTTTTTAGGCCCCTTATTACTAAACGTTTTGGGCAAGTACCCCCAAACTCAATTCCAGCTTTCCCTTTGTGATATGGAACCTTGTAGTACAATTTCATAAATATCCATACACTTACACACAAGTTATTGTCATGAAACTAGAAAAATGCTTGTTTTTTGCCCCCTAATTCCTAAAATTTGGAGGCAATTACCCCCAAAATCAATCCCAGCATTCAAACCCTCAATCAGCATCATTTAACAGTAATATCTAAAAATGGAAATTACATAATAAAGGTATTAAAATAGAAAATGACATCATAGTCATGGCTAAAAATAAACAAAATCCTTAATCAGCAACATTTTACAGTAATATCTAAAAATAAAATTCCTTTGTAACCATAAAAGCCCATTTAAATACATCATGACAGATATTAAAATAGAAAATGACATCATAGTCATGGCTAAACATAGCAAAAACCTTAATCAGCATCATTTAACAGTAATATCTAAAAATAAAAATTTCTTTGCAACCATAAAAGTAAAATAGAAAATGACATCATAATCATAGCTAAAAATAAACAAAAAATTTTTTTATTACCAAATTTTAAATGGAGTTTATTAAACTAAAACAATAAATTTGCAACCATAAAACCCCATTTAAACACATCATAAAAGTATTAAATAATTCAACTACATCATAAGGCTATAAAAATAGAAAATGACTTCATAGTCAAGGCTAAAGGTAAACAAAAAACCTTCATCAGCAAAATTTTATATTGGCAAATTTCCAATGAAGTTTATTATACTAAAATTGTTGGCAAATTTCCAATGCATTTATTAACAATAAAGTTATTGGCAAATTTCCAATTAACATAATTTAAAAGCAGTGTAAGTGAGATATTTAAATGAGTTTGAATTACCAACCTTACACTGCTTTTAAATAATGTTTTGTACTTATTTGTCTATTAACCTGGAAACCCTTGTTTTTTCACCTTTTTTTCCCTTATTATTTAAAGGTTTGAGCCATAGCCCTACCCCAAAGCCAATTCTTAAATTCCAATGTAACCTAAATTTACAATATACATAACTTCAATTTAAGTTTTTGATAAAATCAAACCACATCATTATTATTTGATTTTATATCTAAATCAGAAATAATTAACCAACTTTAAGTGGAAAATTTTCACACATCACGCCCCCCCCCAAACTCAATCCCAGCCTTCAGTTTGTGGTATGGTACCTTGCAGTACAATTTCACAGAGATCCAATTACTTAAACACAATTAATTGTTGGAAACTAAAAAAAAATGCTTATTTTTAACCCCTTTTTTAGCCCCTTATTCCTAAACATTTGAGCAATTATCCCCCAAACTCAATTCCAACTTTCTCTTTGTGATCAGAATTAACCAACTTAAAATGGAAAAATTTAAAGAAAAAAAAAAGGAAAAAAAATCCCCCCCCCCAAAATTTTTTGACCCACTTCCCTTTGTGGTATGGTACCTTTAAGTACAATTTCAGAGAAATCCATACACTTGAACACAAGTTAATGTCTGGAAACTAAAAAAATGCTTATTTTTGCCCCCTTTTTTGGCCACTTATTAATAAATGTTTTGGGCAAACATTTTACAATAATATTTAAAACTGAAATTAATTTGTAACCTTAAAATTAAATAGAAAATGACATCATAGTCATAGCTAAAAATAAACAAACTATTGGTAAATTTCCAATGGAGTTTATTATATTAAAACAATAAATTTGCAACCATAAAAGCGCATTAAAATACAGCATAAAAGTATTAAAAAAAATTTAACTACATCATAAGGCTATTAAAATAGAAAATGACATCATAGTCAGACTAAAGGTAAACAAAAAACCTTCATCAGCAAAATTTTATATTGGCAAATTTCCAATGAAGTTTATTATACTAAAATAATTGGCAAATTTCCAATTTACATAATTCAAACATAGTGCAGGTGAGATATTTAAATGAGTTTGAATTACCAACCTTACACTGCTTTTAAATAATGTTCTTTACTCAATTATTTGTCTATTAAAATGGAAACCCTAGTTTTTTAACCTTTTTTCCCCTTATTCCTTAAACGAAAAAAAATAATTACCCCTTTTTTGACCCCCCCCCCCCCCCCCTATGATTCATCACCCCCCCTTCCCCCCAAACCAAGCTCAATAACAGCCTTGCCTTTGTGGTATGGTACCTTGTAATACAATTTTAGAGAGATCCATACACTTGAACACAAGTTATTGTCTAGAAACTAAAAAATGCTTATTTTTCACCCCTTTTTAGGCCCCTTATTACTAAACGTTTTGGGCAATTACCACAAAACTCAATTCCAGCTTTCCCTTTGCGAAATGGAACCTTGTAGTAAAATTTCAGAAAGATCCATACACTTACACACAAGTTATTGTCATGAAACTAGAAAAATGCTTGTTTTTTGCCCCCTTTTGGCCCCTTATTCCTAAAATTTCGAGGAAATTAACCCCAAAATCAATCCCATCATCGACCCTTTGTGATATGGAATCTTGTAGTACAATGTCAAAGAGATCCATACAATAACACACAAGTTATGTCTGGAAGTTACAAAAATGCTTATTTTCGGCCCCTTTTTGGCCCCTAATTATTTAACTGTTGGTACCATAACCCCCAAAATCAATCCCCACCTTCCTATTGTGGTATTGAACCTTATGGTAAAATTTCATAGAGATCCATTCACTTAAACTAAAGTTAGAGTGCGAAAACCATTGTGTATTCGGACGACGACGCCGGACGACGACGACGCCGGACGACGACGACGACGACGACGACGCCAACGTCATACCAATATACGACCACAAAATTTTTTTGCGGTCGTATAAAAATGGCAGTTGTTTTTCACTTGTTCCATTGATTGATAGCATTTGATTTTGTCAGTTTTTATGGACTTCCCCTTTTTGAATTTGCCTTGGAGTTCAGTATTTATGTTATACTTTTTATGCATTGTACTTTAATTTCAATATAATGTTACAAGGACTTTATTCTCAATTATTGTGCAATCAATCAGTAACACTTACATCATGTAAATAGAAAACAAATGTGACTACAATTTCACAATAATAAATTAGAAAGGCATAAAATTCATCAATTTTTTTCATAAAGTAATTGAGTACATACCCACACACTGCTTGACATCACTGACTTTAAAGTTCTCACTGGGTACCCTGAAAAATACAAAATATACAATGACTCAATAGGTACCCTAAAATATACAATGACAAATTTGTGATCAAATGTCTAATTTTTTATTGTGAGATTAAAAGAAAGTTGTAAATGTCAATGTCTTATTTGGTAAATTTGTGTTGTTGGGTTGCCGACTCACTCACAGTTGCATTTCCTTGTTCAAATATACTAGAACACACCCGCGAAATCGCGCGCATTTTTAGCTTGGTTGGAAGTATGTAAACTATTGTAGGATGAATTTTTGTAAAAGAAATATGTCTGGAGAATTTCAGAAAAAAATATCAAAAGTCAAATAGGGACATGGAGACAGGACTATTTTTCAAGCCCTCTCCCTTTTATTTTCAAAGTCCGTTATTTTTTGGTTTCTGTTATATTCCATTATTTTCCCGTTTCTGTATACTATGAACATACGTATATATATTATAAATAAAGTGTATTTGCTATTAACTATCAATTCTAAGTTTCTTCTCCACGGTGATCATTGCTGTATTATATAGAGAGTCTCTATATATTATAGTAGTATAATCATAGTATACATGCAGATAAACGCGAAAATAATTGTCCTGTCCCCGAGTATTATTAACTTGATTTATTTCACTTGACCGGGCGGAGTTTAACCCATTTGCTCATCATAGACCAGTCCATCTATAGATAGGTGTTTTGGGACAAACTCATCAATGAAGTGTCCAATTATGGTCATTGATCCGGTTAAAATATGTAAACTATAAATGTGTGTTCGCAAAATAAATAATGAGACACAGCCGTTTATTTTCTAGTAAAGCAGAGTTTAAACAGATGTAAAAATTGTCACATTTTTGAAATTGTGGATCTGAAAGTAAAACCATGACGACCGCAGTTGCAAATAATGCATATTTCGTTATTCTATAACGATTTGAAATACTTTTATCTTCCTTTCAGAGGCGGATTTTTTGGGGGATGCCCCCTCCCCCATTTTTGTGGAATTTTTTGTTGTTGATTATTTAGGGAATCACTGAAACATGACTTGCGCGGCACCCTCTTAGGCAGTCAATGCTCCCATTTATAAACATTTCTGGAGCTGCCACTGCTTATATTCCAAATGCTTTAATTATTTTTTTTTTTTGGGGGGGGGGGGGGGGGGCACTGGGATAAGTTGCAAACAGAATTGATCATAATTAAGGAAGGAATAATTGAGTTTAAATATTTTTTTATTTTTTATTTTTATATATATTTTTTTAAATCACGTTTGAAATGAATCTCACAATCAGAAAGGTTTGAAACAGAATAATACAATAGCCGATACTTTAAAATACCGTCTGCCTTAGCACAAACAAACGGTATAAATCTTAAATGTTTTTTTTCGGGGGTTAACACATCGTTCCCTCAGTTCTTTTGTATATCTGTTTGGTGACACTGATAGGTGATTAGCAATCAGTAATAATAATTATAACGGCAATCAACCTTATCACACACATCTTCAAATAGACTGTCCTTATGCAAATTAAAACGTACGCTCCGCCCGATCTGTTGAAATCACATTGGTATACTTATGAAAATTATGTGTAAGTTTACAACCGGTAGTCATATTTGAATTAAAAGTCGGTCTGATGATGGAAACAATATCCGGACGCCTTTATTTTCGTTTTTCTCCCAAAATAACCCAAACTGAATAATCATAAGAATGGATGACAAATGCGACTATGCATGGTACCTATAGGACACAGAGGCATGATGATTAGTTTATTGTGGAAGGAAGAGAAGCGACACACAAAATGAGGTCTTCTCGTTTAAAAGTATAGATACATATATATCATAATGATCCAGCTCCCTCGTAAGAAATTTGTTGACTAATAATATTTAGACCTTTTATAGATAGAAAACAAAATAAGGTGTTGCTATATACAGTCAGGGGACTTACTTAAATGAGTGATTTTTATTCACTGATTCCAGTAACATTGTCTCCACAAATGTTGGAAGTAAGAGTTGTTTTTCTTTAATAATCACCTATTTAAGAAGTTCAAATAAATCACTGGACTAAGTGATTTAATTTTATTGTAGCTTTAAATATAGAATACTAATGATCCAGGGACTAATTATGCTGCTAAAATTATCAGAACCAACATCTGTGTTGATAGGATGACCGGGTCATGTCAGGTGATGACCTTGGACTAAATCTAGGATAATGACATAAAAATCACTTGTCTAAGTATCATATCTCTATTTTCTTCCAAAAAATCACTTCTTTAAGTATTATTATTTTAATTACCCCCACTAACTTCAACACCCCCGAACAGTGAAATTTGGATCGCGAACAGTAAAATTTTATTACATAATCTGTAAGATGAAACCTTGATTTTTCAGGAAAATTACTCCCACTGCTGGGAAAACTCTGCTAAGAAAGTATCAGTTCATTATGTAAAGCCTTTATTATAGCATTTTTTCAACAAATATAGAATTTACAGCTAATTGATTGCATCAAAGGCATAAACCTTGCTAATTAAAAGAAGAAAAAGGTTAATTTTTTCCAATTTTACTAATAATCATGATAATAAGATATAATCTAAACCTATGTGTTTAAAATTTTGGTAAAACTAAAAAATCACAATTTGAGACAAAATTTCAAATTTGCTATTTAAATAAGTGATTTTTAAATCACTTATTTCAGTAAGTCCCCTGACTGATATAAAACAGCCGAAAACAGGGCGACTTTAAAATTAAAATTGTAGTCCAGCTTTCACTGTACACCTGTAGTATAATTTCTAATTATTTTTCTCCTTTAAATTACCTGAGGTACAAAAAAGATTAAATGTCAAAATATACATGAACAATTAGACATTGGTTTTTTCTTATGAATTGTTTCACATTTTGTCATACCACGTTTTTTTATAGCTTACGAAATGATATGGGTTTGGCTCTTTGTTAAGGGCTGTACATTGACCTGTAATTTTGGTCTTTGTCCTATGATCTTTCCATATATTTGGTGGATAGTTGCCCAATTTGCATATATACACAATATATTTATTCATATACATATATTTATACCCACCGTAAACCTAGACCACTCTTTTCATGGAAAACAATTGGTGTCTCTAATCCATGTTCTTGTAGATACTTTACAGTAAAATCTGAAAAATAAAAAGAAGAATGCATCTACTAACCACTCATTTCATATTTATCTGTTCACTGTATCTACATTATTTTCTAACCTTGAGCTTTTCAAAACACCGAGCCTCGCTTTTATTTTTATGGATAAAATTTTTTACAGTTATCCCCACTGTTTACTTACTTAGCTTCTCATTTCATTTCACAATTTGAACATTCTTTATATATGTTGTGGATTTAATTTGATATCCTTAGTATCTGAATTATGTTAAAATGGTAAATCTATGTTACATGTCAGTTAAGGGCTCACCACAACCAGACTTGAAGTATAATTTGTCAGACTTGTTCGGACAATAGGACCTCTTTGGAAGCCATGATCCACACTGTTCACTAACAACCACTATCAGAATTTATCCTATTCTTTGTTATTGTATGTGCCAGGATGTGAATGAAAGTTGTTATCCACACTGTTAACTAAACTTTCCAATCAGAATTTTATCATATTTTTTGTTGCATATTGTGGATTTAATTTCAAACCCCTTTCCGAACTATAAAATATTCTTTTTTGTACTTTGACAACCAATAAATTTTGGCAAAAGGTCCTTTGTTATCAATGTAATAATTTGTTGTTAGCAAGCTCAAACATAGCATCAATAAACAACAATGAATCTAAATTGTCAAAATGAACCACATGAATTAAAAACACACGAACACAATCTGAATGAAAAAAGTAAAATTACATATAATTTATGGCTGGGACATCATCTCCTGCACAAATGACATCTAAACTGAAGCCCTAGATGAATGAAAAAAACGTGTACAACTCGAGAACAAGTCATGATCTATTAGGTACAATGAGAGTTACGTCCAATTGTACCCAATTTTTTATCCCCACAGTGTACCAACCTTCCCCTTTCAATATTTTAACAAATTCTTTGTTGTATTTCGTGGATTTAAGTTTTTCCTCCACACTGTACGTTCTTTTCCCTTCAATCTCATCATCGTCAATACCTTCCTCTGAATAGATCTTCTTTTCTTTCACTCTCTGAAAAAAGAGAAAAATATTATTAAAGATCACTGTCGACAACCTCCTCTCAACTGATCATCTAGTCTTTAATTCTTTGTCAAAGGGAGATAAATACATAATGGACAATTCTGAACAACTTCCTTTAAATCTTTGCAAAACAAAACAAAAAACAAAAAACTGTACGAGTAGTATCAATGCATTGCTTTGGTCATGATGATCTACAAAACAGAAATTTAACTGTTACAGATTATACATGCACCAACCATGATACAGATCTTTTTTTCATCCAGAATGTATGAAATATTTGTCACTGGTCATTAAGCAACCAACAATCAACCAATCCATCAATCAATATTTAACTGAAACTTACACACATCATTAACATTGATGTGTCATTTAGATATTTTGGAAGATAAGCTAAATCATAGTGGCATTATTTTCAAGCAGTAAATGTCTGCTTACTTTGCCCATATATCATGTGTATATATATACTTTTTTTAAATTACAATATCTAGAGGGTGAATGTACAAGAGACAATCAGGATTGATTGATTGAATGATTGGTGTTTAATGCCACTTTCAACACTATTGAGCTATTTTGTGGCGTCACTTTTATTGGTGATAGTAGCCGGAGTGCCCGGAGAGAACCACGAGACAATTAAGAGACATGGTGGTAAATATAAGGAAGATCTGTTGAAAAAATACTTAAGTTAAATTAAGACAATGTAAGAAATGTACAATTTAACCGAAAAAAGCCATGTTAGATTAAGTAATGTACAGTGTAATTTATGACTTTGTTAGACAGCTAATCATTTTATTTCCTTTCTTATCTACGTTATATCAGACATATATTTGTATTATATGTCTCTGGTTATATCTATGATCCTAAATTGGGTTTTGACTACATGATCAAGAAATTAAATGAGGGGCAGTCTGCTTTGAGAGTGTCAAAGAAAATGTCTTTGTACAAAATGTTACTAGGTCCATCTCCAGCTATTTGTTAAAGTTTAACATTGATATCTTGTCATATTATAATTGATTATTTCATATCAGTCATATTCCCCAGGCTGCATAAAACACGGTAACACGTTTTGTTCACAATTTATGTTAATAACTAGAAAAATTCACACATCATGTTACATTGTACACACACGTAGCAATTTCACCTAGAAAGCTGCATATAGTAACATTCAATGTAAAACATGTTTTGAGGAAATTTAAATGTTTACAATTACATATATTTATCTTTAAAATGTAGGTCAAATACTCGGAGTCAAAATCACGATCCATAAACGGGTCAATACTTATATCAACAACATTCAATATGATTGTAAAATCAAACCTTTGAGCCCTCTGTAACTGTGGTTTCATTGAGCATCTTTTAGTTTTACGCCCTCACAAATTTCAATATCGCTTTTCAACATTTACAGTCTTTGAGCCATATTTATACGAAAATATGTACGATCTATGCCCGGTTTTATACACCAGATATTGGTTGATAGTTTGCATGAACTTGTACTATCTATGCACACCATGTGCAGCAATGCACATTCAGTATGCACTGTGCAATTTGTTTACGTCTGATGTGTATTAATTGATGACCTAAATTAACGTACACAGGTAAGCGACAGCGAATACACAATAAATCAATACTGTACGATGTGTATTCAAGCATACTGTTTGTGTATTCAAAATTACACATTAATTTCACAATTCACCTATATCAAGTATAAAATTCCAATAGTTAAATTTTTATTCACAAGATTCCCTAATTCGACAGCAGGTAGAATTACATCAATTCAAAAATATACCATTTAACTGTTTAAATATATAGCAGATATATATACATATATATATAAATATTTACCAAATATATTCACAATAAATGAGACCACAAGTGCTACATTTTTTTGGGGGGGAAAGAGAGAAAGCTTTCGTAGATTTAAAATAAAAATGGCTATTATATCTATGGTGTAACAATGAAGACGATTCAAAAGTAAGTAAACATTGTCTATTACATTACATGTATATTATCCGGGATAAGCAAAGTTAACAACAACACTCATATTCAATCAGATATCATTTATATCCTACAAAAAATTCAGAATTACAATGTATAGTAGTACAGTATCTAATATTTTATAGAAATACAAATCCTTGACGCATCCGAGCCCCCAAAAATCTTGGTTTTCAAATAGTTTTGCTTAAATTGTAGAATATAATGTCAATACAATGTGTATCTCTCTAGATCTGTACATATATAAACAAACATCCCGTACGAAATTAGCAATAAAAATGTTGGTCATGCGGTCATAAACCTAGATGACTGAAAACAATAAACAAACCTGAAAAAATATTTTTAAATATATAATTTTAGCGACCCCGTTGATGACAATAAATAAATAGTATTCAGATTTTTCTGCTGTTGGGTAGATTTTTTTTTTTTTTTTTTTTTTTTTTTTTTTTTTTTTTTTTTTTTTTTATGCAATCTATGTATTTTTTTTTAATTGTTTTTTGTGTAGTTTTCTATTTAGTTTCTTTTTCCTTGTATGCAATTAACAATACAATAATTTTATGTTATCCCTATCCAGCCATGTCATTCCCTCAATTGTATAAAATACCAAGATACCTTGAAGTTCGTGGAATTTGCAAAAAATGTACCTGCCAAAATACAGTAATGTATAAATTTCCGGAAACAATAATAATTGATAAATTTATGTAGCTGTGTCTCTGAATCTTTTTCTTCTACACAGTTTGAAATAGGTGAATAATCAATACGGTACGTTCTTCTCATTGTAGTGATATCAAATTCTAAAGAAAATTATAAAAAACTAAACAATGTTGCAATGTCCAGGTGATTTTATGGATTCTTAAAGGCTAAAATCCAACTTCCCATGATTTTTTTTCTTCTAAAAGTCCAATCTATCACAGTATCAGAGATTCATGTACATGTGGTCTTAAAGACTGCTTATAACTGCAATTTCGATAGGACATTTTAACCAAATCAATGTTCTGTCTGAAGTAAAAACATTGTACCATCTTAAAGATACACATTAATTCACATTTGCCGAAAGAAAGTTGTTTAACGCAGTTTTCTCCATCCCATAAATGTAGAAATTGCAATGATTTTTTTCCCAATATTGACCCTGTGAGTAAATATAAGTGCAAAATTGGACATATTTCTTTATTTCAACATAGCAAATATTTCAAGAAAGTATTGAACCAGCATATAGTACATTAGACAAACTTTTCATTTCTATTACATTTTTTTCTTCTTAAATCATATTCAAATTACTTTTACCATATTTCGTGCGTTAAACGACAAAAATTTTATGTAGCAAAATTTCATTATTGACAGAAAGCTTCTTAAGATTTTGGGTTTCACCCGAATATTGTATAAAAGATATAGTAATGATGGTCGGTGTCGAAATTTTCAGCACCAGAATTCGCAGATTTAAGCATAAGAAATGGCGTTCAATCCCTATCATACTTATCTGTTTTACTGTTGACAGATGGTAGACAGAATGGGACGGACGGAGGTTTAACTTACCTTACATTAGCATATCTTACATATTTTACTTTTTTCTTCAGTAACTGGAATGTCATGAGAAATTATCAACGCTAATGGATGCATGAATTTGAAAGATTGGTTCATTCTAGATTCTGGTAATTTTCTTCTCCACTTCTCCCCTGCCATGTCAAAACACTATATACTCAGTACCTGTTATTATGTATACATGCGTGGAGAAATTTTGCAAATAACATGTCTTTTAGGGTTAATTTGAATAAAGAATATGTATGCCGAAAGCTGAAAACTAACGATAATTTTGCAAATAATGTTACAGTATTTATCCCCTAAATTTTTACAAAATTTGACAGAAAATCGAACATTTGCAGCTTTATCCAAAAACAGCAACATGCACCACTGAATAAATTGTTGCTTAAAATTAAGAATCAGCATATTCTTAGCATGATATAGACAGTTTAATATTCAATTTCCAGTAGGAGATGACAACTTTTCAGCGAGAGAAACAAAACAGAAAAGGACCTAGGGGAATCCAAGTTCATTGCTACATAATTATATAGGTCTCATGTATCTTCTTTTTGAAATTGATTTATATATTCTTTTTAAATATACGAGGTTCTACTGGGGTACCTTCAGTCTTTGGACGATATCTTGTCATGACGCTGTCCTGTTTACCATTTTGATTTAAACAGGCATAACATTGTGATGTCCAACTGGTGTGAAGTCATCAGTCTGGGATCCTGGCTCTCTGACGCGATGAGGAGGTTGGGCCAGGATCCCAGAATACGATGTAAGGTACAGTCTTAACTTGACTAGTTGTATCGATGTAGAGTGATCAAGTTGTTTTAGAAGTTTAATTCACTAAAAGTGAGGATTTTTTTTTCTTGGCCATATATTCTGTGAATATTTAAAATGTAAGAGTGCAATAAAGGATGTCTAAAGAAGGGAAATTGTATACAGGAAATCCTTCGGAAGCACACCAAAGTAAAGCAAAAAAATTCGAGACTTACTTGTAAAACAAAAACTCCCTCCAAAATATTTATCCCTGCACATCGAAAAATGGGGAGAAAATACCAAGGGAGTAATCATAAGTATTAGTCAAAGATAAACGAAAAACTGAAGGCAATTTTGATAAAATATTACAAAACATTACACAATGAAGGTTTACCGGATCCAAATTTATTGTATTTGTCTGAAAGACATTTTTTTTCTTAATTTTGATCAAATTTTTGTTCCTATTTGGAATGTCTTTCTTGTGATGCATAATGTCGAAATTTGCATATATATCTATCGAATTGCGTTTATGACCGATTTATAAGCATTTACAATCCAATCAAATTCCAAACATTTTGTATGTCAAAAATTCACGCAAGGAGCTGTGATATATACATTAAAATTTTCATAAAAAGATTAGTTTTTTTATCAATACTATAGATTCAGTGAACTGCTTAGCCGACCTTTGGAAATAGGTTTTACCAGTATACAAATATTTATCATCATTTGTGTGGTCATAGAACTCAGAATAAAAGCTTGTATGGCTCTTTGATACAGGATTGTAATTACATTTAATCGAAAGCTTATCCATTTAGTTTATAATGATCATGAAAATTGAATTCATATTCTACAAAGTGCAGAAAATATATATTATATTCAATTTATGCACGAGGGGCAATATGGAAATTGCATTACGAGTAATTGCGCTCTTGTAAACTGTGTGAGGTAATCTCTTGTGACAATTTTGCGATTTATAAATTTAACTCAATAAAGTCCCCTGAATTTGTTTTACTTACGGGGTCAAAATCCGAAAGCTGGTAATAGAAAGAGTCTAAATGATATACTGACCTGAACTTAAATGTGTCTCAACAATTTTTCATATTATACTTATATTTACCATAAAATAAGAGTATTATTCTGCCCTTTAAAGATTGTGATTGAAGACTATTTGATACAAAACGGCAACATTTACATGTTTTTGTAAAATTTGTATTGAATGACGGCCATAACCGTATATATCTTTACTTCCTCCAGAATGGCTGGTTTACAATTTTATTATTCAATTTTGAATAAACGATCAAAATTTGCCCGAATCTTTCAAGACAATGATTGCAGTTTGCAGTAAACTTTATTAGCCCCAAAAAACATGTCCAGAAATAAGAAACGAAACAATTTTGTTACAACTTAAAACTATGATAAAGTAATCTTCAGCCGACTGACCGACTTTTTTTGAAAATAGCCATTGTGTCAAAATTCAGTGGAAATTGGTTCGAAACTTTATATAGAAGATTTCTTTATTGGCAAATCAAAGATTATGCCGACCATATTTATTGATAAACACTTAAAGATCAATAAAATGAAATTTTGTAATTCACCCCGTTTTCCATTAAAATTCATCTATTAGTCTAGTGTTACCCCCTTTTAACTATCCTTTTATTTATTTTACTTCTTTTTCTATCAACTTTTTTTTTGAAAATGGACAACAGAATTAAATACAGTATGTCAAATAATTTCGATTGAACATATTAATTTAGGTACATCTATGCTATGGATGCTTGGTTTGTATAGTCTATACATACTAATACTATTAAACCAAATATATATTTCCAAGAGTTTGAGACAACCAAGTTTTGAAAGATATGAAAATGTTTGCAAAAGTCAAAAATCTGGTCTCGTCCTGAATATGCATACAATGTTTGCCACTGGACGTTAAACAATTCGCCTAAATCTTAGACTAATGCGTGTCAGGGTTAACTACACACATATGGACTTACAAAAATTGTATATGTTTAAATAACTTGACGCTACCAAATCAGTTTCTCGCCTCAAAACGTTCTCTTAAGGAACTTTTCAAGAGAAATCAAACGAAATTTTCCAGAAAACGTCACCATGAGGCATTTTTGACGTGTTTCTATTTCTAAGCTAAGTGAACCCAAGACTCATTTGAATCCTTGATTAACTATAAAATGGTCATCTGGAATATATAATGAATATGAATAACTCTATGCGGTCAGCACAAAAAGAAACATCAATTAAATAACACATTCAGCCAAATAAAATGAATTTATATGAATTATTCAATAGAATAGCATATATAC